CAAACATTTTGAACTTTCCAAACGATTTATTTATTTTAGTATTATTTTTTATTTGCAATTTATTTAACTTTTAATTTGTGGGGGTCCTGATTCTTTTGTTCATTTCATCAAAGTACGTTTCAATCGATTTATTACAATTAATTTGCATATATTTGCATATAAATAATACGAAATTGCAAAATATCTCCGGGGGCTATGGATTGTGGTATCGACATATTATATGCAATAAAAGTTTGTGTCTTAAATCTTTTGTTTACTGTGTAATTTGCAATATGAAAAATGCTATGCATGTGGACACTTGTGTGAAGAAAATCACACAATGTATCTATATACTATATTCGTTGACCGGAACCCACAGTTAAAAGAGGAAATTAAAAAAAAAAAAAGCTGTTTGCAGCAAAAAAAAACGAAAAAAACCCGTACGGGCCTGAATGATTTTACATTACTTTAACTGAAAAATAATAAACAGTATTTCAGAAATGGTTTACAACGTATTTTGTTGTTGTATTATTTATTCACATTACATACAAACATATTTGCAAACCACCAAGAAATTATGAATGTGTATGGCGGTAGTGGTGCAGACTTTTTGAACGGCTCAACCCAGAACACAAAGTGACTAATGTATGTATTGTACTAAGAATTTGTAATCGAATAGGAAAAGTCGTTGATTTTGTCTGTAATGGAATAATTTCACTCAATTTTCGATAAGGAAGTTGGATTTAATTGCCATTGATTTTATAATTTCGGCACGAAGTTCAGAAAATAAACTACTAGTTATCCATTAGTTCCGCATACAAATAGTCATTTATGCAGGTGCACTCTCACACAGTATGTTTACCATAAAAACCGGAGGCCGGATATATGAACATTTATACTAAAAAACAACAACAAAAAATAAAATAAAAGAAAAACGTCAGTTAAGAATCTTGGCTCAAGTCAAACCACAGGCCCAGACAACACCATACACATATACAACAAATTCATATTCCAACATTCAATCACCGTTCATCGCTCGTATTTAAATGAAAAACATAAAAAGAATAAATACTATAAGAATGAAACAAAAAAGGCCTGTACTGTTGTTTTTTGTTTTATGGCAGCATAAACGGTCGGTATTGGCCATACTTTTGTTGTAGACGCAATTTAATGTTTAATGCGGTAACGCATATTACGGCAACACGCATGCTTATTGAGCAGTTTTCCCTATTTGTCGACAGCAACGGCAATCGGATTATCATAAACGAATGAACGAACGAGCGAACATACACATGAACTGACACCAACGGCAATAAATGAATCTTTTCTTTCTTTCTTTGGCGTCAAGTCCAGTTGAGTACTTTACAGTCATGACAAGCTAAGCGTGTAAGCGTTCGGATTTATATGCAAAATATGAAATTAGAAATTTATGGTCATACAGTTTTCGTCTTTCGTTTTACGTCAGAAATTTCTTTCAATTGAAGACTCAACCGAAGAACAGTTATTCCATTTCGTTTCGTTTCCCTTCTCTGGTTTTATTGTTGCTGTTGTTGTTGTTTCCTATTCTTTCACCACTCTTTGCCCTACTCTGTTTTTTTCTTCATCACCCAATTTTTTCCGTTCCGTTTCTGATTTGTGTTTTTTTTTGTTGTTGTTGCTATTGCTATTCAATATCAAAATTCTTTCTTTTGTTATCCATTGATAAATGGCGTTCTTTTTTATTTATAGACAAACACACACACTCTAGTACACAAACAATCTATTGAACAACCTCAACATAACCGGCTCCGAACTGAATGGCCAGAACAGCAAACAAAAAAAAAATGGTTATTATTTAAATTGAATAGAGGTGTTTTTCTGCTAACCACCTGATAATGAATGTTAAACGCTTGGAGAGAAACGTAGAAGCTTGAATTTATTTAATTAAATAATCCAAAAAAGATTTCAAATTGCTTGCCAAAAAAAAAAAATAATATTTTATATATTGTGGTCATGAATGAACTGGGTCATGTTCAGATCATAAAGAAATAAAAGTATAACCTAATAAATTTAATACGAATGATGGTATAATTGGGAGATGATAGGAGAAATGAATATTTTCATATTTATTATATTCGCAGAGTACACAACAGGAAGGAATTCTCTGTCCATATTGTATTGTAATTTTTCCCAGTGTATTTTGCGAAATGCATGTCAACAATAAATATATAATTGGTTGATATGCCATAATCGTTAAGAGATTGAGCAATAGCGCCAAAGGCTAAGGGTATATCCCGCACTGATACAAATTATCTTTGATTCGTTTGTGATGTTTGTGTCTTAAGTCTTTTGTTTTCTATTCGGTTTCGTGAATTTCACAATCATTGGTTTGATATTTTATCGACATTTTCCAATAGAAAATAGTTAAGCGGCACCGTTGTTGTATTACAGATATGAAGATTTTTCCTTAAGAGGGTCCCACCCATTCTCAGTTTAAAAAATAATAATAATTTTGTTTTTTGATTTGATTGGAACCTAAATTAATTCGAGAATGTCTCTATAAAATTTCAAGTGAACATCTCAACAACTCATGAAGATATAGCCGGTTTATTGTGTCAGCATTTCAAACTTTAAAAGCACTTTTCTCGAAACTGTATTTTTAGGAATGGCGGGCACGATAACTCAAAACTAATAATCTTTTCAAAATATTGACACGTTTGTTTGTGGGTGTATACCTATCGTAGGAACTAAATCCAATCGGCGAATATCTTCCCTATTTTTTAACATAGTTTGTGGTCCAAAATAGACTATTTTTTCAAACGTCCGCCATTTTGTTAATTTTTGAGCGAAGTCAATAATATCCTAGTTCCTACGAGAACCAGGCATGAACTCTTCCTAACACCGTTGGAATGTTCCAGTGAGGAGTTATCATGTCTGCCATAGAAATAAGGTTTTTTCTTTAATCACAAAAAAAACAACAAGCTCAGAAATTGACTTTAGAATCTGCTTGCCGTTTTCACTATATCGAGGGTTAACTACACCCAAACATGACTGTATATATTCGAGAAAATGGCTGAAGTTATCAACCTTTTTAAAATCGAGAAATACCGATATATAGGTTTCTAAACCAAATCATAGATCAATCTAGAATAAACAGTGAAAGCGTTAACTTTATTATTGCCAGCTTCATAATTGTTTAAAATAAATAACTAAATAAAAAATATCTTACAAGCGAATTAGAAATAAAATATACCCTTCCATATAATAATAGAAGACTTTAAAAGGCGTATACGGGTTGCTATTTATTTCCGTAGATATCAGATTATAAAAATAGTTCTTACTTCGATTTAAAATATAGAAGTATTAATTGCTTGGATATTTGAGGGTCACTAGACAAGACATCCAAAGCTTTCTATTTAATTTTCATGAGCTAAACATTAAATCACACCGTCATCATCACATCGTCGTAAAGACTGAATTTCTCTTCAATTTTACAACACCACAATAAAGATATCCACAACAAGAATGCAATAAAACACAAACTTTACAATTTTGAAAATAAAAAAAACGCACACACACACATACACATTTGCAAAAAATTCTTTAAATTCTTAATGCATTGGACTTCGTTCGTAATCCTTCTCCTCGGTGATGACTTAAATAATTCAGGTTTTCTACATTAAACAAAATCATTTGTCACCTCGAATATATGTCTCAAACTAAAGTTGATATGGTTCTCGATGATAATTGTGTATTGCTCTTCTTCTTCGTCGTCATTATTATCAGTTACTCGCACAAATTAAGTGCAACTTAAAAGAAAACAAGATTTCATTATAACAGTTTAACAGCAAAGCTGGTTAACCAGTTGCCAGTTGCCTTGATCTCCCTTTGTAAGCTATATGGACACTGATATGATATTATTAAAACGTTTTAGTCCACAAGTGTCCGTCGCTTTTTTAATCGGCAACCTTGAAGAAAATAGTCATTGAAAAAGGAGAGGTCAAACAATTGTTGAAAATACAGTCGGGAATAGTACATAACAGGAGAATTTCAGCTATAGTTCATTTCATTAATATTGCTTAGAAATAGAGGGCATCCAATTTGGAAAAAAATAATTTCTTGTTCAATTTTCTCCTTTTCGTACCACGGTGTGCGTGAAAGAAATCCCTCTAAAAACTATATAAACCAAACTTGTTAAAACATTTAATTGCATTTATTGTTTTATTACTTCTTTTGTGTAATTTTTTGTTTTTGTTATTCCATTTTTTTATTTAATTTCTTCTAACTTTTAACAGCTTTCATTTTATCGCAACACCATTTTTAATAAAAGAAAATAAAAATTAACTTAAAATATACACAAGTGCAAACATTTTACGTTCAAATATCAACAGAAGTCATTCCTACATACATGAACGTACATGTGTACGAGTATTTATAATCAGCTTACAACACCTGCCGCCAGTAAACCAAAAAAAAAAAAAATCAGCCCATTTGACAAAATAAACTAAAAAAGAAAGAAACTTGGAAAACATGCGGCACAACCAACGAAGATGATGGTGCTACGCCGCTCAGCATTTCATAAAACAACAATTATACGAAACAAAAAATAAAAACTAGACTGACTTAGAACTACATTCGATGCTCTAAAAAAATAATTTTTATAAGCGAATAAAAAAAGCATTACAGCTACTTAATACTCCAAGCAGTGCAAACAACAAATCCAGCGAAGAAAGTAAACCAAACAGAACAGAAGTATTGCTTTCAAAAACAGACAACAACAAAAATAGAAAACAACAACATTTTGGTTTCCTACAATTTAGTTTTGGTTACTTTGAAAAATTCATAACCCACCTCACCGCACCGTACGGCAACAGAGAATTTTGTCATAAGCCTATGACTCCATTTAACAGAAGCTACGCGTAAAACGTTTTCATTTTCCACCACAAAATAAGCTCTTCAAGAATCATCACAACATTGGAATTTGGCCACTCTCCTCCTCCATCCTCAGCTTCAACCTCAATCCATTTATTTGTTTCCCATTTGTCATCGGACAATAACAAATTAATAATCGTGCAATGAATTGTGAAAAACAGAGTGAGACATTCAAAAGCGGCGGAACGGATGGCATAACAAGCTTTTGGAATCAGCACATTATGGAGCGCTTTATAAAAGCGAATCTCTTTGTTATATGCTGTGTTGCAGCCGGTTTGCTATTGGTAAGTTGCACCACATACAAATGTCAAATAATTAATAATATATTTAATTTAAAAAAAAATTAATTTTTTAATCGAAAGGGTAAACAAAAGATGAAAAATGCAAAATAAATTACAGGGATTGTTTAACAATTATTATTGTATTAGGATTTCAATTCAATTTATTTATTGAATAATATGGAAGCCTAAAAGTATTTGGGATTAATAAATTATTTCCTAACAAAATTAAAATTGTTTCGGAATAAATTTAATTCTAAGAGAAACCATAAGCGATGAATTCCGGAAGTAGTTATTTCTATTGAATAGAAAATATTACGATTAAAAAAAATATTGTACAGCAATTGTATAAATAATGTAAAATTTAAATTGGGTATATGCTGGATGTGCTCTCCCATTAATACACTAAGTTTCAATACAAAATTATAGGAAACAAATATATGAAATCGCATTTTATTATATTCTGGAATGACCTATTTATTTTAGCATAATTAGAACAAGTTTTTTTATCTTCATCGACATCTCAATAGAACCAAAAAAGGTTCTAGACAGTTTATTTATTGTGATATCCATAATTAGATTGTTATTTCGATTCACCAATAAGCTGTCGTTCATGCAGGTCCATAAAGAAATCACCCAATTTCAGTCCTCAAAGCTATATTTTACCTCAAAGCTATCTTTCAAATTCTTCGCAAACAAACCTTCGTTTGAGTCAAATCTGAAATGAAATACAAATAGTTGTTTTAATTCCAATTTAAATAGTATTTCTAAAACATACAAACCACATTTCTCTTTCTCCCATTTCAGATTGTATACCTGGGTGCATTTTCCTGTGAAGTTTCATGGATTTTAGAGGCGCGCGGTGATTTACCCTATGCCGCTTACGTTCTCTGTACACAGTATTTTATTGTCTTTGTGGCCACAACGATACTCATCCATGGCCTGGTAACTGGTCTACCATGGGGTTTATTCGCATGGTCGGTGGTTATTGGGATACTATCGATACCCGAGTTGATATTTGTAATGATTATGACAACACAACATTGGGTAGGTTAACACATCATTGCTACTTGCAACAACACCAATAACAACAAATATTTTATAATTTCTACATTTCTAGGGTTTGCAATCGGTGCACGGCCTAACAGAGTTAATAGCCTACCTCATACGTTTGGTTATAAATTGTTTTGCTTTAATTTGCGTGATACCAACTGGTCTAAGGTATGTTGAACCAAATAATACAAATAGTATACGTATTTATAACAACAAAAACAACAAATTTTATTACAATAACGAGTTGTAGAAAATATTACACAAATTTCGAAACATTGAACTAAATCCAAATTAAATAGCAAAAGTGAAAGAAACATCTGAAATATTTAGCTGTTGCTGCTGCTTCTGCTCCTAATGTAGATTAATCTATCTATGGCTGTGTTCAATGCCGATGATGGTTCGCATTGATAATTGATAATGTTTTTTTGTTGGTTGGCCATTAAATGACAGCACTTTCATTTGTTTGATGTTGTTGTTTTTTAGCTCCAGGGAAGCTCTTAATATAATCATAAATTAATAGATTATAGATAGACACAGTTTTAGGTCATCTTACCGTACAACAAAATCAATGATTACGTTAATAAAGAAAATTATTACTCAATACATCTTACATATTAATATATGTAAGATGTATTTTAATGTTCCTTCATTTGAAATTCTATACAATTCTGTATATTTTTTAGATGGCGTCGCGAGTCTCAAGTCCTCACACAATTACAGGATTTGGCAACACGACTACAACTACAAACACCGCCACCTAGCGTACCAATGCTGACAACAAAATCTGACTCAAGACGTTCGAGCAAACGGATACAAAATCAACAGAGTGCTTTTGAAAATTCAGGTTACCAAGTAACAGAGGTCACCACCAAACCCGTTAATGGTGGCTCACAGCCACAAGGACTAAATGTATTCGGATCGCAGAATGAATTCAATGCCAGCATGTTTGCCCTGCCATTTTTGCAGCAGCAATTTAATCCAGCAAGTGGTATCAATCGTAATGGTAAGACAGAGATGTACACATCAAGTATTATTGAAACTTAGAGATATTCTATTTTCAATACAAAATCCATTCACATAGATTCTAAAGAATTCATTTGTGTATTACGCGACAGAAATTTGATGAAAATTTATGTCTATTATAATTTCAGGCAATCGCACCCAATCATTAATGGATCTTCGCTGTACCCTGCCGGGTCTTTACAATCCTCGCTATGTCATAGAGAACAGCGATGAAAAGAATGGAAAATATTTCAATATAACAATAGATGATTTGAAAAATAATCTACAAGATTCCCACAAACAGCCTGCCTCTCTGGTCGGTTCCAATGATCCCATTTATTGTTCTATTGAACCAAAACAACCATCACCTCCCACACAACCAAGGGGACAGCGAGAACCAATGGCGTTGCCAGGACAATCACAATCGCAACCGCCAACAAAGTTGGCCCGCAATTGTATATCATTGGAAAATTTGGAAGGAATAAACAAGGTACAAAGTGACCTGGCAGCCTATGGACACAATCTGCTGCAGAACTATAACCAGCAACAGCAGTACTATTTGGCCATGTTGGGCTATTTGCAAGAGCACCAACAGCATTCGCCCCAATTTGCCATGAATGGTGGCATCTATCGGAGACCCGGTAGCCAGACAAGCCTAAATCCTCAAGTTTTGGCAGGCAATGGGGTAATGCCACAACAATTCCAGCGACGTAATTCCCAACATCTACAATATTATGGTGGTTTTGGTTATGCCAACTATACGAATCCCTACATTACAGCCAATTCGAAATTATCACTGGGCAATGAATCCGACGATTACCGCAAATATCGCGATGTGGCTCTGTAAATAGCAACCACCCAGTATAGCAGTACTAGTTTAAGTTACTACTTGTAAAATTTTTTTCCTTATTTTTTTGTTTGTTACATCTTAAGGTGCTAAACTATTCACACGGAGTAGTATAGTGTTTTCCAGTCATCAATGTTCGTTTTTTATTTTATAATATAAGATTTAAGATTTTTTATAAAAGCAATTTATAATTAGTGTTTAGCCAAAGATCGATAAAACCAACTAACTCAAGTGAAATACCAACCAACTATAGGCTATTTTTGAAATTACGATCCACAAATAAACGTATGGCAACCCAGCAGTGTTTGCCTCTGCTCTCATTCGAATGAGAATAATTATGCAGTGCAATTGATTTTTATTAAGAAACAATTGATATTTATTTATATATTTTTGTAATAACATTTAAAAATTAAGTTTACTATAAAGAACAAACACAACGATTTTAGTTTACAATTATTATTATTTTTTGTTTGCTTGTGTAATATAACTATTCGTATGTTTGATATTTCTAAGATAAATTCAATGTAAATACAAAAAAATGGATAACTGAAAATTTCTTATTGAATACAATTCGTTATACGAATTCTGAATGCACTTTTGCCTTCTCTTTGTTTGTGGGGATGTTATAAAAGATCTGCCAAGGGATTATCGGCAATGGGGGTTTTCATGGTTTGTTTTGTATCCGAAGAAGCAGGAGACGTGATTGCACGCGTAGTTGCACTGGGATTTATCGTTGCTGTTTTGGAATAAAAAATATGAAATTTCAATTTAATACTCCAAGCTTTATATCGGATCATATCCATCATTGTGTCTTACCTTTGGGTGTACTCTTGAATAGATCATTATCATCATCATCACTATCTATGTCGCTAAAAATACTACTGGAATGTGTTGCTGTTGTTGATTTGGTTTTACTTTTTGATAACTGGAGTTTAGAGCTCGACTTCAAGAAATCTTCATCGTCGTCACTGTCATCACTGAAGATGGACGTATGTTTATTTGTTCCGCTCTTTCCATCGATTGGACGAATTTTTTCAGTTGCCTCAGTGATACTTTCTGTGGTATGACTCGTTATATTTACTTGTTTTGTTGAACCTATCTTGACAAAGAAATCATTTTCACTTTCAGATTCGGAGTCTGAGAAGAGGGGTTTAGTAGAACTGTGTTTTACATCTTTGTTGAGCGTGGCTGATTTCGAAGACACTTCGTTAGAATTTGGCTTTGATGCATCAGATGTGACGGTTGTTGCTAGAGGATTCAGATTGCCTACATGACTAACTAATGGGGGCAATGGAGACTTAGGATTGGAGTCAGAATTTACTGACATATCTAATGGTTTTATCTCTGTATTTGCATCCATAGTTATTGCAGGTTTGGTGGTTGATGATCTCATATCTTTTGTGGTATCTGTTGAGCTTTCTAACTTCATAGCAGATGAACTCGAATTGCTATCTGTCTTACTGATAAGTTTTTTATTTAGAATACTTTTGAATAATTCATTATCGTCTGTTTCATGGTCATCATCGTCCAGAAAACTAGGCACAGAAATTTTTTTCACACTTTTTGCCACTTGTTCTTTAACATTTTCAAGATCATCCTTTTCATTTGCTGGGAGGTCTTCCGTCTGTGTGCGAGTAGTAGAAGGATAGTTGTTGACATCTTCCTCTAGTAAACTAGGCACGTTTGCTTTTTGTACACTTTTCGTCACTTCTTTGACTTTTTCCAGACTGTCATTGTCACTTTTGAACACATCTTCATTGTTAGGGAAAATGCCGATGTTTTCCTTAGTCGTAGAAGAAATTACATTCGACATATTTGTTGCATCTTTTCCATGCTGAATAGTTGCTTCAGTATGGCTATCAAACATCTGTTCCTCCAACAAAGATTTCCGAATATTTTCTTGCCTTGCCTTTCGGGTCGAGGGTCTTCGATTAAGTGGTGCCCTTACACGATTTTTGTTTACATTCGGCAAAATGTGATCTTGTTGAATGTGTGTAGCGACGTCAGTTCGAACTTTTCTTTCGTCAACATTGTGTTTTGGTTGTGTTGGAATCGGCATCGAAGGTGGTAAAATAGTTTCACTTGGTCTTTGAATATCTTTCTGTGTATTCGGTTTACCTACACTTCCAGGCAACAAGGCCTGTACATTTATATTTAAATTGGGCATTTGCAGTTTTGAAATGGGCCGTTTATTAAATGCACATGTATGGGACACATTCTCCTCTATCTTCTTCTTTTCAAGCTTTTCATCCTTCACAGTATTATCAGTTCGATTTTTAGATACAACTTCAGTTTTATCTTCAACGATGGGATGTTTATTAGGCGACGGTCTTCTAATCAAATTTTCACCTTGGATTTGTTCAACATTAATATCTTTTTCTGTAATCTCAGACACATTGTCTTTGTTTCTTTGACTAACAATCGTTTCTTCGCCACTACTCTCCTTTTCGACAGCGGGTGGTTCATTATCAAATACTGGATATGTAACTGTTGCCTTTTTATTTTCACTCCTTTCTATGGCCTCTATAGTTTCACTAAAATCATCATAAAATACACTGCTAAGTTGTTTTGTGCCCTCAGCTTCTTTGGTGTTTGGTTCAGTCATATTTTCAAAATCATTATCTTCCGGCGGAATATCACTAAATAACTGCAATCCTTTATATTCCGATAACTTTTCGGCTGGTGTTGTTGAAGTTTTAGGTAATTCTGGTTCGGAATATAAATCGTGCTCTAAGTCAAAGCCACTAAATTTCATAGTGGGGGTTTGAGAGGATTTTCCAAGAGACTCAAAGAAATCATTATCATCTGGAGGCTCATCAAAAAGAAGACTAGAATCAAAATTGTATGTCTTCTTATTGGAAGATGTGACATCATGTGATTCACTGGTCTTAGATGTACTTGTATTGGATTCCAATTGAGGAGTAGTGTCTGTAGTAGGAGAATCATTGTCCATCGTAGTGTCAGGCACAATGCTAGTTTGGGCATTAACATTTGGGATATCAGTTGTCTTTCCTAAATCTGAAGTGTAATTATTTGAATGCAAATGGTGATCATTGTTCGCCGCTGTATCGTTATCTTCAGCAGATGAAGGTTGCATCACTCGTTGAGCTATATTTTCGGTACTGGCATTTGAAGACACACTTTTATTCACTGCGTTTGTGACCTCAGTGTCCGATTCATCATCCCCATCGAACAAGTTTGTAATCTTTCTTGGATGGGGGAAAATATAATCGTTTTTAATGCTTCCACCGACATCAAATTCTTGTTTTTTCAGAGAATCATTTGAAATATTTTTGTCTTCAATAGCATTACCAGACATTGCTTGAGAATTAACACTTTCAACATTAGCTGTTAAAGGCGTATTTTTATCAACTACACTGCTGGACTTTCTTGGCATCGCAGAAGGTATAACATGATTATCCTCAAAAATAGCTTTCTTACTTTCAGAAACTACACTCTGATCTACAGGTGTTTCGTTTAAAGTCACAGTGTCATCGAATATATTGTTGATTTCCAATTTACCAGCCATACTTTTAACATTCGAATTATTTATTTCTTCTGGATTTTTACTGGGTTTTCTTGGCAAAGGGGGAATTATTTTTTCAACATCTTCTCCTTCCATGTCTGTATTTAGAACATTATCAAACAAATTAATGCGTCTATCCGTTGAAATGTTTATATGATCTTTTTCTGAATTCTGTTGTTCTTTCTGGACTGTTTTTATAAACTCTACAGATTTCTGGTGAATCTCATGTATAATGTTGGGTTTTGTAGGCAATGGAAACATTTTGTCGAAATAGTCGTCATTTTCTCTCGCATCTTCGGCTTTTGCTTCTTCATCATCTTTAAATAAGTCGATTTCTTTTGCCTCTAATACCGAAATATTTGTTTTAATCGTATCTCTTTGCTGTGAGTGACTTTCGCCGCTTTCGATTTTAGATTTTTCTTCGTTTTTATCCAGACCTGCTGAAAATAATTTTGGTTTGACTTTAAAAAGATTTTCTTCATCCTCATCTTCGTCATCATCGAAAAGATTTGTGGTTTTTAAACTACTGAACAGACTCGACTTAGGAACCGGCTGCTGCGCTACATTTGAGTGTTTAGGTGTTGAAATTATATTCTTCTCCGTTATTAAATTGGCATTATTATCGCCATCATCATTATTCTCTTCAAATAAGTTTATATTGCGAGTTGCAATAGTAGGCGTTGTGGGTTTCACTACACTTTTGTTAGCTAAAGAGGGTACAGTATCGGTTGTTGGTGGTTTTTGCCTTTTCACAAAAGCACTTAGAAAATCACCATCATCATCCTCATCATCAAAAAGATTTGTGCGAATTTTTGGTAGAGCAACCGGAGGAATATTATCCTCTTCCTTCTTACCAGCCGATGCAGTGCTTCGGGGAGTATCTGCTGTTTTGTTGAAGAGTTTATCTTGAAGTTCATCAACAAATATTGGTTTAGATATTTCTTTTGTTTTAGGCTTAGCAACACTTTGTATTTCCTCTATTGGCCTGTTTTCAGTATAACTGGATTTGGATTCTTCAGCCGTATTTGCCTCCTTGCGTTTACTTCCGGCAATGCTCAAATGTTTGTAAACCTCATCATCGTCATCGTTGAAAAGATTAATAGTTTTTCGCGAAACACTCGATGATGGAGTCGACTGCACATCCTCAGGAGGATCGGAAAACAAATCCGTATACGGGGGTATGTTTGATTGCAAAGTTCGAGATTTTGGTAATGGTGTGGCTTTTGTTACAGCAGGCTCAGGTAAACTCGGAGTTTTAGAAGTCGTGGAACTGCTACTTTTCGATCGTTTAACATAATTGTCAATAGGAGTATGGATATTTAATATCTTGGGATTTGACGAATTTGCAGAACTTGTTTCACTAAATGACTGGGAATTTGAAGCTTTCTGGGGCGGCAACAACGTTGATGTGGCGTTGTGGACTTCAAAATTGCCACCAAATGTATTGTTGCTTACCGAAAAACTTGAAGCGCATTCTGAATTAGTCTCGTAAGAATCATCGTTGTCGGCGGCCGCAGACAATGAGGATTCGGAAAATGCGTCCGAAGCCTCATCGCCAGAATAAGAATTTTCTCGCTGTTCATATTGAAGGCCAACGTGTGATGTCATATGCCAGTCTTTGGAACCAAAGATGTGTGGCAATGGTCTTTCATTGTATGGGTTAACGGGTTGGAAAATGCACCTGAAATCGTGCAGATATAAATGAATAAATACCGCAACCAATTGTGTTTTCCTAGACTTACGTCTTTTGGCGTTTTCTCTCGTCCACATTGTCATCATCATCTGAATCGTATACGTCAATGGAATACTTTTCATAAATACGTAATAACTTTAGATTATTATCCAAAAAGGCGGCAAAGGCTTCCTTTGCTGTTGGCTTATTCGATTTCTAAAAAAAAACAAAGACATTTATGTGTTATAATCCTCGTTACCAGCGGCATGAGGGCTTACATCAACCCCATTGATGGGTGTCTGTTCGTTTCCGACAGGTGAAACTGTTTCATCGTCGTCCTCAACGCGGCATTCCACAAACTGATTACCGTATTGAAGTGCCGTCAAACTGTTGGTTACATTATCCAGAGCAATGTGAGTACATTTTATATTATTATTTAGGCGATCGAACTTCTGGGCTGTACTTGCGGCTCTTGATTCCAGATTCTAAAAACACAAACAAGTAACTAATTCCATTGTACATAATTACAATCCCCAAAACAGCTATCCCAAAATGACATAGACACGAGGTCCATGTTTTGAAATAACCGGGAAATTTGGGTTTGGTACTCAGTTAATTAACCTGTGATATTGTTTTCATCCATTGCAATAATTGACAATCCCCAGCAAATGTCCATTCGCCAGCCTGATTTAATATTGCCTCTAGATTCATATCAGTTGGGTCTGACTCCATGTTGATAGGTTCCTTAACTCATTGAGCACTTTAATGTCGAGAAATACTGTTTCCTTTGGGTTACCACAATCTTCACTACGTTGTTTAAACTACCAAATAGCAGATCAACAAAATAATATAAACAATTTACACAGTTTGGAACAATTGAAACCAAGTCGTCCAAGTCGTAAAACAAAATGATTATCAATTCCACTTTTGTTTTGATACCATTCGCTCATCAGCTGCTAAACAAAATGGATTTAGCGATTAGCTTTGTTTTGTTTTTGTTATGCTATGTTTACATCACAGCTGTCCTTCATCGTTCGTTCGGATGCATCGGCAATATATTACCATTTAGAAATGTATTCCGAGTCCATTAAAGTTGAATTTTTATTCATAATTTTCACTTTTTTTTATTTTAAAATACTAAAACTTCTTTGACAACTAATTGCACTAACTGTTGATGCGTCTATTTTATTATATTTCATTGGTTATAGAGTTGCGGAAAACCATACACTGTGCCATTAGGTTAAGTCAAAATTCAAAATATCGTTCATTCAATACAATATAAATAGAAATTACATTACCATGGACCATTGGTCTCCGGATGAAGTGGCCGCCAGATTGACGGACACGGGCCCTTAAAACTAACCTATGTAGAAATTAAAATTATAACTTTTTGCGTGGTTAACCTACTATATCCGGCAATAGATATGCATCTATTGAAAGTTTACCGATCCCCTTATCACTAGTAAAGATAGAAAACTATCCAACAGCTGATGAATATCACAATTATGCCTCACCCTCATTCGTAAACAATTGGAGCCTTTCGCATTTGTATTACTTGCTGAGGTTTATCAATAATTCTCTCCTGTCTCCCCCTATTCGTAGCATGAGGAACGTTTTTATATTCGATCGGTTCATTCGGCTACATCGATATATACATACATCGACATTCAGACATTTATTTATTTGGTTTGGAATTGAAGAACAAAAATAAAAATAATAAAACTTGGCCAATGCTGTTATTGCAGAAGCACTCCGTACCAACAACAATCAATAGTTCGGTTAAGGCTTTTTGAAATTCGCAGCTGGCCAAAAGCAGAAATCACAATTTTAATTCATTTGTGCTTAATCAATAACGAACGCAACAGAACCCTTGTGATTGGTATTATGATATTGGATGAAATTGTTTCATGGTATGTGGTTGTTGGTCGGTTGGTTGTAGCGATAAGACAAAGCAATTCTGAAATGCAGTCACATCATCATTGGATTTCTTTCTTTATTTATAGGTATCAGAAAAAGATTGGCACTTACGATAAAGAACCATGGGAGAAGACAGTTGAATTGAAAATATTGGATGGCTTTAATAGCGGAGTAACATTGAAGACAGCAAAACTGAAGACCGAGTTAATTGATGTCGACTTGGTTAGAGGTAAATTATTTACAATGGTCGTAGAATTATTAATCTTATTAAAACCAAAATAGTTAGCCACTCCTACGCTTCATTTGTAATGAGGATTGTGGTGTCATGCACTTTGAATACTAAAAATGAATCTTGCTATGAATGCACTAAACAAGAATGATTGATTCATTGAATTCAACAAAGAAGTCTTCGTTAGACATTTATCTAGTAAATATGTCCAATAGCATAAGCAAATTAACATTGTTCATAAAACGGCCTTGACAATAAGATTCAGTTAATAACATTTGTGTGCGTGTGTATGCTTATTTATTCTGCAGGTTCAACCTTTCCTAAGGCGAAGCCAAAACAATCATTAACAACTGTGATACGTTTGTCTATACTGCGTTACATATTTCTGCCCCTTTATGCACAATGGTGGGTGAAACAAACCTCACGCAATGCATTCGGCCTATTGTTCTTCCTTTATATGACGCAAATGATAAATTGGGCTGTTTATACGTGCAATGTAAATCGTTTGGAAGCTGCAGCAGCATTAAATGTAAGCGATGGTATTTCAATGACGACAAATATAACACAGACAATAGCGAACAACGACGACAAGTCGGAGAATGATGTAAGGCAGCAATGAATAACCGTGTAGTAATTTTCTAAAAAATCATTGTTTTACAATTTCAGCATATTGTTTCAATTTCGGAGCTTCTAATTCCTATGGCCTTAAGTCTGCTTCTAAGTTTAATACACTCTCAGATAGTCGCCACCAATATAGCACAAAGTGGCGGGGTCAAGTGTAAAAGAAGACGCTATTCCAATGCAAGCCAGAGCAGCAATGGACGGCAAGGAAAATTATTGCGTAGACGCAAAAAGCTTGTCAAGTGAGGCATAATCTATTTGAGGGGAAAACATGTAAAGCATGACAATTACATTTGGTTGGTTTTCTTTCAGAATGAAAAGCCACGATCAATTGGATAATAAGAAATATACAACTGCGAGCGTGAGCAACAGTGACGTGACTGCCACTACAAATCCATCTAAATCCATTTTGGAAATACCATCATCCGCATCCACCAAATCAAATGCTGGTGCAACGATACATCAACCGCCATCATCGTTAAAACTGAATGTGGCCACAACACAGCCGCATTATCTATCACAATTGAAACTAGATCTCAGTGATTCAATCACAAATTCTGAAGACTTTCTACTGAACAATGCAGCCGAGTGTACTCTGCGCAAACGTAATGTCAAGTTTGCTGTTACACAGGAAAAACAACAACAAACCTCACCACAATCTGTCTCAACCACCAGCAGCACACGAACTTCGCTAAGAGGTGACAATTCCAGTCCATCGTCGAACAGTCCGTGTGTATCGCCCACCAAGACTGTTCGCATTGATGACTGCGTACAAGAATTCTATGATGATCTAATTAGCAGATCGTCAGCGCCAGCACCTCAACAATTATCAAATGTTCCGTCAGAAGGGCAAAATGTGTCGAATACGCGCCGCATTGTGGGAGACGATGATGGTTTTGAGAGTCTCAATGGCAAAAGTTCAAGTGGCGAGGATAACAATGCTTCGCCACATGGCTTGAGATTACGTACAAACATCGGTAGCAATCATGAAAGAGTTGAACTCTTGGCAGAGGTATTTATTTATTGTGGAACACAAAATGATGATAATACGTTCCCTTTTTTCAGCGTAAACTTAAGCCTATCAACAGCGACGTCAAATCTCGGGATGTTAGCAGCGATGAAACAGAGGAGGATGGAGATGATGGGGATTTGATTTCAAGTCCAGCGTCACAAGGCGGCAACACATCGAACTGCAATGAGTGTACAACTTCTGCCACAGAATGGCTGGGCATAACAACAAACAGTAAGTTCGCCAGCCACTAACCTGCATTTACAATTAATTATTACTATGCGAACACCCATTTTGTAGGTGATGAATGCAGTTACAGTTCCGAGTACGATAACTCGGATGATTACAAAGCAAACCAATATTCTGACGAAAATTTATCTGATTTGGATTATACACCAACGGTTATTCTAAATCCCCATGGGACCAGTGATAGAAGTAAATACAATCTACAAAATTCTATTTGCAATAAAATAAGCTTCTTTAATTGTAATTTTAGTTAGCTGTACTATTTGGGATCATCGTGAAATTAAAAAGGCACAAATGTCTGTTTTGGAAATTTCTTCGGCTATTATTGAAAATGTCGAATTGATGCCCGAGACAAATGACTACATTTATATTGGTATATTCTTTTCGTTTGTATTATCACTGATACCTGTATTCTGTAGGCTGTGCGAAATAACAATGGATTCAGAAAAGTCTAGCGATATCAATTATTTTGACTTGCCAATGATGTTGTGGGAGAAGGCCTCATTTTCATTTACTGCCATATTTCGTTTTGCCTTCGGTGACACAAAGTGGGAGAGAACCGTCTTGATAATAGGATTCCTTAATCGTTTGTGTTTGACGCTGATACTTTTTATGTTTTTCAGTGTGGCCGAACGTACTTTCAAGCAGAGGTAAAGTATAATGCCGTCGATGTTAAATGTAACCAACAGGTGTCTTATTTTTTCTAGATTTCTGTACGCCAAGCTTTTCTCACATTTGACATCATCAAGGAGGGCCAGGAAATCAAATTTACCTCATTTTCGTTTGAACAAAGTGCGAAATATAAAAACCTGGCTAAGTGTACGATCCTATCTAAAGGTAGGGCTATTTTGAATTAGCAAAAAATGTGTTTATAATTGCCCTATACTTTTAGAAACGTGGGCCTCAACGTTCGGTGGACATCATTGTATCGGCTGCTTTTATTGTAACGTTGTTGCTTTTGGCTTTCCTGAGTGTTGAATGGTTGAAGGATTCGGTACACCTACACTCACATTTGAACCTGGAAGCATTGTTGTGGTCGAGTACAATTGGTATCTTTCTGTTACGATTTATGACTTTGGGCAATAAGATTCATCATAAATATCGAAGTGTGTCAGTTCTAATAACTGAGCAAATAAACCTTTACTTGCAGGTATGCCAAAAGATAATGGATCTACAAATATATTGCATATTGATGTATGTTTTCGTATTATTTCTAGATTGAAAAGAAACCCAAAAAGAAGGACGAACTAATGGTCTCAAACAGTGTTCTGAAACTAGCATCCGATCTATTAAAGGAGCTAGAAACGCCATTTAAAATTTCCGGTCTTAGTGCAAATCCATATCTTTTTACAACAATTAAAGTAGTGATTTTATCAGCCTTATCTGGGGTTCTAAGTGAAATGCTGGGCTTTAAGCTGAAATTGCACAAAATCAAAATAAAATAATGAATGTACCTTTAGAAATGTAGCACTTGATGTCTGTACTTTCGTAGTTCATAGTATCTATACACATTATTAGTAGATTTCTGTTAATGTTTTTGTTTTTTCTTTTTTTTCAAATGAATTGAATACACAGGATTGAATCAAATATTTACAGAACAGACCAATACGGTTGTGATTTCTATGTAGTATAAACGATATAATATAATATAATGAGAACAAAAAGATGCCATAGAAATATTAATGTTAAACTAACAATATGTGTATCTGTCTATTTCTCTATTAAGAAATGTATATTTTTGCTGATGTTGTATTTGTTTTCAAATCTCACAAAAGATATTCTCTGAAAATGTGTAGTATATAAGAAATATCCATCTGAAAAGAGGCAAGTTTAGAAATCATTCAGTAATAAAAAAAATATTTAAAAAACAATGTTTTTTTTAATATATTAAATAATAATTACTCGGTAAGGTATTTTGTGTGAGAAAGAGATATTCTTGTTCCAACAATAACCATGACATAATTAAACGAGGTAATCTCATGCAGTCAAAAAGTAAAAGAAAAAAAAAAAACAAAATTTAGTACAATTTTTCAAATTCAATTTCTCTATATTTTATTGAAGTTTTGTGTAATATATAAAAAGACAACCAATAATCGTAGACAATATCCAGTACACAGACACTCTTAAAGACATGTGGTAATTAATGGTATGTATTCACTAGAGTAAAAAAAGAGGCACAGTCACCGTTAAAATACATTTTAGATCCATCTTTCATTAACTCAATATATTTTTGAGAGGTCTTCATAAAATCAAATTTTAAACATAAAATTAAATTACTTAAATGATAATTTTTAACTGTTATTAATACAGTTTTCCAAATTGCTCTCAGCTTTGAGTAATGGAAAACATCAGTAAAACTAAAAAATTAAATTGATTATTTTTAATATTACAGTAGATATCGGATATAAGAAACTCAAAAAAGCCGGCGATTTCTCTCTTATATGCGTTTTTTTTTCTTATATGGAATTATTGGATATAAGACAATTGTTTGTTTTTCAAATACCATTGTCAGCTTTGGTGTTTGACAAACATTTCTTATATATGTGTTTTTCTTATACGCGTTTTTCTTATATGAAACAATTTTTACACTGATGAGATGATAAAAGGCTCGGTGTTTTTGACAATCTTTCTTATATGCGATTTTTTCTTATATGCGATGTGCTTATAACCGATATCTACTGTACTTATACGTTTGTCATTAGTCCTTAGATATGTATGTATTCTGTCATTTAGGGTCCTCAAAAGAAGATACTGAATAAATATCTAGAAAAGTACGAAAACCAATGTTGTATTTTCCTGTTGCCTAAAGTACGGAAACAGAACTATTAGCTAACATTTCATTTCCTCGGTTAAAAAAATTAGTAGATTCTTGCAGTGCGCGAGCAGACCACCATATCTCACAAAACATTAACCGAATTTTAAAACTAATTTAAATGCAAATTACCGTTACTATTAAAATCATTGATTTGGACGCTTAACAAACCTACATGCCAATCGCGCTCAGTTCAATGACGGCGACAAATACACATACCGGACGACTTGGAGTTTCGTTCAGTAGTGGTTTTTTCGCATTTTGTGTCGTTTCTAGTTTTTCTATCAAGCAACCGAACCAACGTGTTTTTACCACTTGGTTAATGTTGTTATTGTACCTATGTAAGCAGTTTTTCAACAATTGGAAATCACATACTTTACAAAAAACCCAAAAACAAATGTTTGTGCAATTATAACAAGATGCTAGTGATGTAAAATAAAGTGTGCAGAAATTTCTATTTGTATGTCAAAGAAAAATATGCGAAATATATTTCAAGTGGCGGGGTAGAAGTAGATAGCTATAGCCACCAAGTTACTGCGACCTCCATCACAGTCTGCGCGAGAGACAAGGACGAACATATGTCCAATTAGACATTTTACATTGTTCTTGTTGTGTGTTTTTTGTTAAATGTGTGTGAATGTGTCTGTGCCTGTTTTTTCATAAAATTCACCAAATCAATCGGTCTTGTGCGGAAGAATAGAACTTCGGTCTCAAATTATTAAAGTAAAATAGCAAAGTACTCCCTGAAATATCAATAAAACTGTGAATTTAATTGTCAATCGTAATACCTAAGGATACAAATTACTGGTTCGAAAGGTAACTGGGTCGTTGCTTCTATTCCGAGTGAATAAACGTCTGGGTCTCTCTTTTTTATCGCATCCAACAACGTCAACGTTGTCGTGGCCGTCGTCGTCGTTTTTGTCCTAAACCACCCATTCCGCTGTAAGTTCGAGTGATTGATTTGGATGAGAGCATAATAGTAAAAGTGTGCGTGCGTGTGTGTGTGCTGTTTGGTTGCAAATAACACAATTCTTTTCCGAACACAATAAATAAATAGATAAATGGTTAATTTCTGTTTGATTTATACTGATATGTATGTTGTGTTGTCGTATGTTTAGGAGTACAAAACAATTTTTGTCGTCAGGACTCCCGGAAGAAGGTCTATGAAGCACTGATAACATAACACGGGGTGCAAGTAAACTGCCTGCAGCGAGCAAACCGAGATAAATTTGACCCCGATTTCTAAATTTGTGTTTTGTTGGTCTGTCACCGCCTCTGAAGAAAAAATATAACACAGAAATGAACAAGGCTGACGTCAACAGACGGGTTTTGGCCATCCAAGCCAAAAAGAAGCGACACAAGCCAAATAAGAAGCGTGGTAAAGCCAATGGCAATGCTGGTGGCGGCGGTGGTGGGGGTGGTGGTCAACAGCAGCAGCATATGTCGCAGAACGATGCAACATCGCCATCACCGACCGATGCTGCGATCAGCAATCAACTGCTCGAGGACAATCTTGATTTGAAGTCACCCAATTCCATGCCCGAAGTCTGTGGCATTTCTACAAAAATCTCAAAATCATTTTGTGCTGCACCCTCGTCAAGTGGTTCGAATTCATTGGCGGGCAATACACCCATAACTGGATCATCGAATACTTTGGATGAGTCGACATACATCGGCACACCTTCGTCCAAAAAGTATTCAAATTTTATACACCCCAATGAGGGTTCCAATGACGATTATATGCCGCAAGACAGCTACTTGGAACAGCATCATTTGAATCATGACGATTACATGCACTATCATCAGCAGCAGCATTATGTCGATCCCATCTATCATGCTGAATATGTGAAGAAACAACAATTGCTGCAACAGCAACAACAACAGCAGCAGCAGCAACAACAACAATATCAATATCCACCACGTAGTTCTTCCAACGATTCTGAAGAATCAGAATTGAATAGCGAAAACGAGGAACAAGAACTAAAAGAAGACTATTGCAAGGGAGGCTATCATCCAGTAAATATTGGAGATCTATTTCAAGGTAATTATCAATCATTTTTCATTTCAACACCGGCAATGGTAAGAAAAGGCAAACTTATTTGTTTATCAATTTAAAAAATACCCCTAATAATAGCATATAATCTCCCTAGTGCTTAGAAGCAATCGGGCCACACCACCTGACAAACGTTCTTCGTTCGTTCATGTAGAAACTGTGAAAATGATAGTTAGATTTTGTCGCTTGCTCTGTGATTCACTCGGACCACAAATTTGGATGTTTCGAGAAAGAGAGCAAGAAACGACAAGTATCGCATTTTGTTAACAACGTTTATAAACGTATATCAAACAACTAAATATGTGTCAATTCGCCTATTATGTAGTCAGTCAGAATTTTTATTTTTGTTACGATTTCTCATCATCATTATCTGGCTGCACAACCCTACCCTACAGACGACCGACCTACCTATTCTAATGTTCATTTGCATTTATGCATTGTTTTTGTTTTCTATTTTGTTTACATTGCGAGCAACAACAACAACAAAAACACCAGCGGTGACTGCCCCTCGAATAGCAGACAAACACAAACGTATATATGTCTATAGAAGAGAATGAATTAATACGTATGAACGCCCTAATCAGCGATAGAGGAGGGGGAATAATACAATGTGCTTCCAATTATTATAACACCTGTTTTGTTAGATTCCGGAAATTTGAATGGAACAGAAATTGGTTTTTATTTTCTTCCATAATAGGATAAGAACATTACACTTTTGAATTAACAATTTTCCAAATGCTGTCAAATATCTCCTGCTTTTTATATTCCGAAACAAATTCGAGTCAGTATTTCGAAACTCGGCATACTTGTAACTAACGAAGAAAGCAGAACATAATCTCTTTTGTTAAAGCCTCCTCTTTATAGAACAGTTCAGTTAAGACTTAATGTTGAGCATGCTAAACGATCAGAATAATGTTCATGAAAGTCTATTACGCATATTCAAATGCTATTCTGCTCTAGAGCATAGACATGTTTGTATATTTTACATTAATTAGATGGAATTAAAAGTTAGTGAGAATGACGACTATAAGGTCCCTATCCTGCAATTTTTAGCAAATCTAGTTAATGTAAAGATTAGAGAACAGGTATAAAACCTTCTCTCACTTTGGGTCCGCGCTATATACCTATATGGACTAAAATGTTTCCCAAACTCCAATAATCCGCAATCGTCATCTAATATCATTTGAATTATTTTATACTCATGTACATGATTTATTAAACGGCTTCATAAATATTGTTGGAAATATATTGCCTTGCAATGGTACTGCCACATTTTATTATATTCTATAAGAAGAGCAACTCTGCCACAACAATAATATGTTTTGTATATTGTCTTGTTAAATAAAGGTCCATTAAATCGTACAATTATTTCTTTTTTGCAATTACATTTAGTCTACGTTCCGGACGGTATTGTCAAGTCCGTACATTTTGTCACTTATCATTTTTTGAAATATTAATCGGACATTTTTAAGTATTCTCTATACTACCAACTCATGTCCAAATATTTTTGTGAATTCAAAAACCACAACGGCATTTTTTGAAGCAATCATGCTGCTTGCCAGCCAATTTAATGTTATATGTAAAGTATTTTTAGAACTCATGTACTTTTTATGACTGAAGGAACTGAAAAAATATATTTCAGCAAGACATCGTTAGGGATATACATACGTGTTGGTCAAACATCCATACATATGTAATCAATTTGGCAATATTTAAAATATGATGTAATATTGTACATTACAACACATACAGTGCAGGAAAAATATTGTGGAGCATCTAATTTACAATTTCAAGAATAAGATATGATTTCTTATAAATTTTAAATGTATTCTAACATCTGAAATATGTTTCAAACAGTATTGTCAATACATATTGCGAAAAAAAAACAGTTTCAACTGAAATTTTCCTTCTTGTCATGTTTTCACTGTCGTTAACCTCTCTTTCACTGTGATAATCCGCAAACTGATAGCAAACGAAGCTGTTGGATTGTGGAATTACAGACCCCAAGTTCAACGTAATGTGACATTACTACAGAATAAAAATCCAACAATTCAATGATTCACATACATATACATATTTGCTTGCCTACATACATATATTTGCAATTGAAAAGAATGCAATGAGGAGGTCCGACCATAACAATGGTCAATGGCTATGGTGATGACGATGATGGGATAACAATAACAATGTCGCGGAGGTGAGAGATCGACTGTGGTGTATTTAGTATTAAAAAACGTATTATCGTTACATGAACCATGTCATGGAATTAGTATCAAGCTGATAGTAACATTAAACAGTCAAATCTAGCTTTAAAATTTCACGTCGGATTGTCTGACGTGATTTGCCAGCCAAATGGACTTACTCGATGATTACATTAGTTTTACTGACTTTGTATATCTGTTAGGTGGTTATAATGTATATATGTACATAATCATCTTTCACTCAGACAGACTATCAAAATTATTGGAGGTCATGTTTTCTATAAGTATTTTATGGTTCTATATGCATTCACAGGTCGTTACCATGTTGTTCGAAAACTTGGTTGGGGTCATTTCTCTACAGTCTGGCTTTGTTGGGATCTAGAGGAAAAAAGGTACGTGGCCATCAAAATCGTCAAATCAGCTCAACATTTTGCCGAAACAGCTAAGGATGAAATAAAAATACTCAAAGCGGTGCGCGATTCAGATCCAAATAATCCACGCCGTCAAAAAACCGTCCAACTGTTGGATGACTTTAAAATATCGGGTGTTAACGGAACTCATATATGTATGGTGTTCGAAGTACTTGGTGACAATCTCTTAAAATTGATACGCAAATCCAATTACCGGGGTATTCCCATCGAAAATGTGAAAACAATAACCCGACAAGTTCTCGAGGGACTTGATTACCTACATACATGCTGCAAAATCATTCACACCGACATAAAGCCTGAAAATGTCCTCTTGTGCGTCAACGAGAATTATGTGCGGAAATTGGCCAACGAAGCCACCGAACTTTATGTCATGAACTTCAAGATGTTTCCCTCGTTTGTTAGTCGGGCTCCCAAGGAATACAGGGAACCTCAAATAACGGGCAAAATGAGCAAGAACAAGAAGCGTAAACTGAAGAAAAAGGCCAAGAAACGTTTGGAATTATTCAAGAAACAATGGGATTATTTGGAGCAAAGTGGTGCTACGGCCAACGGGGAACAGCCGCAGGAAAAACCTGAGATTGACGGAAAGTCCCTGCAGAATGGCGATGCATCGGATAATGAGGAGGATGAAGATATTCAAGACGACATTGCGGAGGAGAAGGCTGCAGATGCTGACGCCGACGACGATGATGAACATGCAATGGAAGAGCCAGCAAAGCCCACAAAGCCGGCCAAAGCATCTAAGCCCAACAACGGAAAGCAACAACCACAACAACAGCAACAAGGTGGTGCAGAAGAAAACAATGCTGTGCCAGCCCCAGTAACGGAAAATAAAAAGAAGAAGAAAAAGAAGAATAAGAGTAAGTACAGATTCATTCAGTAATTATGGTTATAGTAGTTGTCAAACTTTTATCTTTAAACTTGTTTTACAGAGAAAGCCAATCAGCAGCAACAACAACCACAACAGCAGCCCTCGACACAATCCGAAAAGACTACAAAGGTTGTTGCGGCCAATTCAACAACATCGTCGAGCAGTGGCAGCAATACAATCAAGGGCGAGCAAAATGAATCAACCAGCAGTTCATCGGCTACACTGAAAGGTCAATTGTCCAATGATTCGGGTGGACAAAGTAAACAGCAAAAACAACAGCATCAAAACAAGACTCCGGCAAAGGGCAACAACAATAACAACAACAGCAAAACAAATAACAAAGCAAACCCGAAGAACGCCACTACCAATCAGCCAGCCCAACATAGCCCAATGCAACCACAGTTGCATCAACCTGTGGCAATGACCAATGGGCCTTCAACGGAGCCTGAAGCCCGGCCAAAGGATCCAGCCTTAGAACCTTGTGATTTTGAGGTAAAAATTGCAGATTTGGGCAATGCTTGCTGGGTGCACAAGCATTTCACCGAAGATATTCAAACTCGACAATATCGTTCCTTGGAAGTGATATTGGGCGCTGGCTATGATACATCGGCCGATATATGGAGCACAGCTTGTATGGCCTTCGAATTGGCCACGGGTGATTATTTATTTGAACCGCACTCAGGTGATAACTACACCAGAGACGAAGACCACATCGCCCATATTATTGAACTGTTAGGACCCATACCTCCCCATATAGTCTTTAGGGGAGCCTATGCAACGCATAGCTTCAACCGCAAGGGAGAATTGCGTAACATTACCGGCTTGAAACCATGGGGTCTAGTAGCTGTACTGCATGAAAAATACGAATGGTCATTAGAGGAGGCCGAGGCATTCGCCGACTTTTTGAAGCCAATGCTACAGTTTGATCCTGCAAAACGGGCAACTGCAGCTGAGTGTCTGAAACATCCATGGCTAAGATAAGATACACTTAATAACCCCCGTAACCAGACCCAATTTCCCCACCACAGCCACTCCTCTACCAGCAGCTCTCACTCAGCATCAAATACAACCATAAATACAAATACAACTTCGAACGACGATGACACGGTATCGCCTACCTTATATGTAGTAAGTCGACAACAAAGAAGTTTATTGCCCCGTTTGTCATTACCTCCTCCTCTTGATAGTGGTGGTGGTGGCGAATCCTTAGCAGTTGCGACTACATCGTCGGCAACTACATATTTACGATCGCCATCATTGCCCGCCGCAATACCATCAGTAGCTGCAGATTTATTGTCCGAAAGTAGCAGATCTCCCTCTCGATCATTGATGACATCCTTTTGGCGGTTGTCGACCTCAAAATCCTTATCACCTCAACCGGTAGCTACAACAAATGCTGCGCATAATTTGTGCTGGCGCAAAGCAAAAACCTGGCGTCGCATTTTCAAAAAGAATTAATAAACCCGTGTTTGATCATCGGGAATAGCAACGGCGGTTGATCTCTCGATACCGATGATGATGATGCTGCTGATGATGATCGAATAAAAAACATCAAAACTCGTCGTATAGGCACCATTTCCTTCCCCTATTTATTTATGTTCGTATATCTATCTCCCAAAATTAAAAAAGGAATAAAATACATTGTGAGAAATTCAATAAAACTCTCTCACAAAACATAATAAAAATAAACAACAGCAAACTGCAACAACAATAATTTTGTTTAGAGTTAAAGAAAGAAAAAAAAAATAATTCCTTTATATGCGAAACCCTTTATTATAGAAAGGACCCTAATAATGACAACCGAACACTATCAGTTAGCAAATAATATAAACAAATAAAAAACAAAATAATATCGAGATAATATATCTTTAATGTAACAGCAACTCATAAAACACCACGAATTATTTTCTGAATATTATTTATGTTCCATATGCATTATTTTGTTTTGTTGTTCTTTTTATGAGATTGAATATTTGGAATATATATAAACATATGTATGATGACTGCATAATAATTTCAGTTTTGTAAATTTTCAAGAAGCCAACCCCACATGGAATACCACACGCAAAGTTTCCGAAGCAATTCAGAATTTCTTTTAGTTAAACTTTGCACTTTAAATTGTAAAACATTTTAAAATAACTTTGTTTTAATCTTAATAATTGTAATAATAAATTAACTTATTTTTCTCATATAAATATGTATGCTTGTTCTTCTTTTGTTAATTTAACAAAAAACAGAAACAGAAAAAAAAACTTAAAAAAAATAAATTAAAGTATTGTAGATGAAAGAAAGAAATAAGATACCTTTCGACATATAAAATTTATAGATAGATTGATCGATGGATGAATGGATGTTGAGCCCTCCTCATCTGCAAGCAGCCTACTAATTTAAAGAAGTTAAACAACACAATTATTTAGCAAAAAAAAAAAACAAACAAACTTAAGAAATACGAATATATAAATATGACAACTAACATTACTCACAAAAAAACATTGTAGTGAATATTACAATATAGAAAAAGAAAAAAAACAACAACAACAAATAGCAAAAAATAAAACACCATATTGCAAAAAATTTTGAATGCAAAAAAAAGAGCAGAGTATATACATGTATGTGTGTTATTTGGCGTTAATGGGTTCTCTTGCATTACTTTTTATAACCATGCGTGCCCAACAAACAATTAACCCATTTTAAATTATCTATTATGGAAGGAGAAAAGATCATTTATTTTTCTGATAACAATATTTATTTTTTCAAAAATTATTCTATTTTTATTTTATAAATGATTATTTTTAGTAATTCTATGAATCTTTTCTAAGCACTGCGAGATATTGCAATATATTAGTTTGAAACCAAATTCATTGTATATCTCAAACAAAAAAATCTCTTCCGTTTAGACAGATAGAGAACTATGATTCTACTATACTCTGTGGTCTTTGTTTCAAAAAATTTATTCGCCCAGGCATCAATTACTTCGAGTAGGTGGTGGCATAGGTAAAGTCAACGCTATTAAAAAGTTGACAAAAAAGGTGTGACTCTTTCTTTTGCCCTTGAGATGAATTCCAAGAAAATATCATCAGAATAATTAAAAAATTAGTGATATATAAGTATAAATTTATTTCCTTTTTTACACACAGAAAGATTAAACCATATTGCCTTAAACATTTTTGGTAATGCCTGAAGAAAGATAAGTTTTCACAGGTTGTATATTACAATTATTTGCCCTTGCAAAACAACAGGTGTAAGTGTGTTAAGTGGAATACTTATCCGGGTCAATCACGAATACAATTTCTGTATTTTATTGTATTGCTTATTAAAGAAAAAATCCAATAGACACGATAGCCCTGAACCCGAACCCATAACAGTTGCTTACAGCCTTACCTAAAATTCAACTAGCTCGTTCGACGTTTTTCACCACAAAAGTAGAACACATGTATTTATATGAATGTTACCGAAATACGTCGACGTCCGAATTTTCAAAGTTGAAAAAATTCAACTATGACAGAACGTAGTTTAGTTTTTTTTTTTTTTTCTTTTGTTGAAAAAAGAAACAAAACATATAGAAATATAATTTTTTTCAATAAGAATATGATCAAATATTTCATATTCTTATTGAAAAAAATTATATATTTTATAATTTCTTAATTTTATTTCGCGATTTTGTTTAGTTCGCTAAGAGAAGTGGATTCGACGTATTTGGGTAATACGGCCGTACAAAACATTTTGCCATAGTGGGGAAGTTGAATATTTTTGTACGCTTCGTTGAATTTTAGGTAACTTTGTGAATGTTACCGAAATACTTCCACCGTACAAAATTTCAAGTTGAAAAATTTCAACATTGACAGAATGTGTTTTTCATTTTTTCATTCAATTGAAACCCACTGGGTTAACGAAATCCGGTTAAATGTAAACGTACTGTAAAAATATGTGGATTAATTAAATAAATTTTCAATTTTGTTTTGCGGTTTGTATTATTTTCTTGAAGATATGGCTTCGACGTATTTGGATAATACGGCCGTACACAACATTTTGCCATAGTGTGGAAGTTGAATATTGTTGTACGCTCCGTCAGATTTTAGGTAACGTTGTTAGGTTACATCATCATCTATTTTCCATAACAAAAAGAAAAATAAAACAAATATGTAATAGTTGGTAATAAAATGGAATATTTTAAGGATGATCAACCCCATCAAATATTACAATATCGGAAATAAATAAAATAACAACAATTAAACATATCAGTTTATCATTGAATATTGAAATGGAATTCATACCAATGTAATGACAGCCAAGGAATCGGCGAAATTGATCGATATAAGCAAGTTCAAATAAAAGTAAGAACTTGTTCTGACACTTTTGAATACCGATGTCCATAAAAATTGTGTTGTTACAAACGATTTCGTCTGTTCAATCACACTCAGTATAGAAGAGCATGTGTTACGATTGGTTCAAATTCGGATATAAATATTGCTTCCAGTAAAATTATCGTTGGGTTTTAATATAAATACTAAAGCACCTCCTACACATTCCCAAAGTGGTATAGGGTATCATATAGACTCCCCGATCGTTACTTTCTGGCAGATATTTGCAGAAAACAGTTTATTTATTCTGTCCATTTTTAAGTACAGTTGAGTACGGTTATAACGAACTTTTCTTATTGTGAACACATTTCCTGGTGCCGAAGTTTTAAAACATATTTTTCATACTACGGATATAACGAACTAATTATTCGGTCCCAAAATTCAGTTTTCATATGTTTTAATTCCGTTATAACTTGGTCCTTACTAGTTTAGTATAACCGTACTCGACTGTATTAAGTTTTCTTCTGGGCATTGTCACAAAAAATCACCGAACATCAAAAGAAGTAACCTTTTGATGCCAAGGATTTCGTTTGCATTATGCCAATTCAGCTACAGATTTGAGGGTTAATCCACACCATGTCCGCGATACCGCATCACTAATCGCACACACAATCGATATTTTTGTCAGTAACCATAAATGTGTCGTCGGTAGTCTATAACGGTCGGTTACTTGAATGCAAAAAAATGTTTGTCATTGTATAGATGTGTGTGTTTGTGTGTGGTGGGCATATTTTTTGTTTTGATTCAGAAGTTCAGAAGCAAATTTAGCTTCGAATATTAACAATAACGGGAAATTACAATTGCACTTCGTAATATTATCAATCGTTAGCGGGAAAATAAGTGTATAAGACACTTGACAAAAGTGTATAAGAATTTTCCAATTAGAACAAAGGACAAACGCACCGCAGCAGCAAATATCTCAAGAGAACTACATATGTACATGGTGCAAAAAGTGTAAAGCCGTCGAAATCGAGCAAAAGCAAACAAGATTTAATTGCGTTAGCTGTCATTTCGGTATTCGTATAGGAAAATTAAGTGTAGAAGAAGAAGAATCAGCAAATGTAGCGCAGAGGCAGGGAATCTATTATCTGCAGTTTCTTTGTTTATTTTTTCATTTCACATCAGAATCAGGACTTCCTCAGTTCCTCGGATTATCTGGAACGGCAAAATAACGATTTGTCATTGTTTATTCGAAACAAAAAGAAAAAATTAAAAACAAGAAGTAAGCAACAGCAGCAAACAGACAATATATATATTACATTGAATATAGAAGAAGAAAAAAAGAGTCAAAATGTCGGAACAAGAACAGAACAAAAAATTAGGAGAATTAACAGCAGAAGAGGTGAATATCCGCATTACTTTTTATGATCGAAGCTAAACAAGAAAATTATATAAAATATATTATTTATGTGTTTCTTTGCATCCTCCCCCCTCATCGGACGACAGATGCGAGCGAGAAGACTACGCACTTTGGCCAAATCAACAAATAGTGCCACATCTGCTGGTGCCGCAGAAAGTGGCAGCAATGTCGCCAACGTACCTCTTCCCTCCACCAACAAAACTGAAGGTATTCCACATATATTGACTGTGTAGAGTAGCGTAAAATAGTATGGTAATAATGTAATTTTGTTTTCTCTTGTTTTTCACGCTCCAAGTGTGTGGTGGCCAACGTCCAGCCACCAACGTTTCAAATTCATCCCGCTTGGTGAAAGCTGCAAATCAATCTGGTTCACCCACAACTGTTGGCAATCAAGACAGCATTGTATTGCCCCTAGACCAAGGAGAACAAAAAATGGATGTTGATGTGGAAATGAAATCGGTCAACACAACGCCAATAAAGTCACAAACAACGCTATTTAACCCTGCGGTTGGTGCCACCGAGGAAGACCTTTCGGCATCGAACAAAGTGAAATGCAGTCTGGCCCTGAAAGATCCAGACTCTGGCATTGAGAATATGGAAACTATAGAACAAATGTCACCGGCTGAGACCCCACAAAAAGACCAGACTACAAATAATCCCCTGGATGGTGTTCAGAAGAGCTCAAAATCCGCAGAGGAACGCTTGGAGGTTATGCTCTCCAAGATAATGAATGCTACATGGAATGAATATTGCACGGGATCCATGATTTGTCCACAGACAGCCAGTTTCCTTGAAAAACATCCAGAACTAAGATTCAATTTCGATTGGTTAATATGCAACGTGTTGATGGAGAGCGTTTTAAGATTATACAACGACGAAGAGTTCATCGAAGATGGTGCCAGTGGTGGCGGAGATGCAAACAATGACGAGGAGATGAAAACTGATATCGGTGCCAAAGGAGGCATGGACACAACTCTGAAAAAAGACAGCACTCCCACATATTCCACGCCGAAAAAGATCAAAAGCGACGATTCGGAAGTGCAAGAAATTTTGGCAAACGTAATCGATGACCAGCCCTCGACATCAAGGGGTTTACAAAGTGGTAGGTGCACTTTGGATAATACATAGTACGATGTTGATGTAAATGCGTCGATTTTCTTTGTCTCTTTTCTCTGCAGGTATTAATAGTTCCGAGTTGATTGGCACTTGCCCAACACCATCATCCAATATCTTTACACCAATGACATTGGCCAAGCATAAGGTTTTGTTACATTTGATACAATGCCACAAGAACCATCGTCACATCAATGACCGGTTTATCGCCAATCTGGCACAAGAACAGCCTGGAGACGCCGAGCGGATTCAACGCTCCTTAAAAACGGTACACCAGCAAATATTTCGCATGACAATCTTAGTGCTTACCGACCGTATTCACGATAACCTCAACTATGCCTTGGATCAATCGACTCTGCTGGAGCTCTACTACCAGTTGCGTGTGCCAGAGGAATTCATATTTGATCTTGTGGCCGAGTCGTACGAAAGAAAAGAAGACTTTGAATTCATCTTTAGCCAAATGTTGAGGGACTTGTTCATGGGTATGCAACGTAACATATGTTCCCCTACCATCATTACCCATCACATGGACCTGCTGTCCAAGTTGATGTCTGTCAAAATTGGCACCATCAGACCATTGTGCGATTTGCTGGCTAGTCAAACGAACTTCTTGCCTCCACTGTGTACCCATATACCGGGTAGGGAAATAGTCAAGTGTAGTTATTTGGGGCCATTTTTGTCGGTATCCTTTTTTGCTGAAGAAAATGTTCGTTTTGCCGAAGCTCATGGCAATGTCGACACATTGTCCCTTAATTCGGGAAAATTCCAATGGGTGAGTATTCTGCAGACCACAGTCGCGTTTGAAGATATATATGTGCATGTGAACTAACAATTAAATTTCTATTTTATATTCACAACAACCCAATCAACCCACCACAGCAATTGTTTACAATGCGTCAACTTATGTATTCAGTTTTCCATTCCCTACTTGTCAATGTCAATACTCGGCCCAAGACTTTGGATTATATATCCCAAATATTGCGCCACAATGAACGGCGTGTCCAATTTGCCAGCGATGAGAAGTTATTGGCACGCGACGGCTTTGCCATCAACTTAATGTGTGTTTTACAACAACTCTCAGTTAAAATTAAGCTAGATCGTATCGATCCGCAGTATCCATTTTATAAGAATTCATTAATCTATATCGAACAAGATACAAAATTACGCTTCACCGAAGAAGAATATAAACAGTTCCTGGATCAACATTTTACTGCCACCAATACGGAGACGACGCCACAGCCCAATTTCCAAACTCAATGTTGGTTCTTAACACTGCAGGCTCATCACTTGGGCTTTATGCCAGCCATACAGAGGTACCGACAAAAGTGCAGGGCCATCAAGGAACTGCAGAAGCTGATCGAAGAAATAGACCGCACCACGTCCCACTGGGAAGCCACACCGTTTGCTTCGCGTAACAAACAGTTTAGGGATCGTTGGCAAAAGCAACTGAAGAAATTAATGCGCTCGAAAATGTGCAGTGAGGTGTGTCTGTTGGACCCCAAGCTGCTGAATTCATGCCTGTTCTTCTACTCCACTGTGTGCGAGTACCTTCTGTACCAAATGGAGGGACGTCCAATTGAAGGGCCATTCATGTCAAAAATACCTCCACAACAATTGAAACCGACTGATGCATTCTCCGCACTGCCCGAATGGTATATCGACGATATAGCCGAATTCATTTTGTTCGCTATGCAGCACGCCCAAAATGATATACGCAACGCTATAGATCATTCGATCATAACATGGTTGCTGACCAGTGTCTGTGCACCTCACATGATTAAAAATCCATATGTCACTGCCAAACTGGTCGAAGTTTTGTTTGTCTTCTCCTTGGGTCCGGCAAATATTTTAAATATATCGGTAAGTGTGTAATGAGATGGACTATCCAGTCAGTCGGCTTTTGTATTAACCGCATTGGTGGCTCTCTTCATTTAGATATGGAATCACGAGTTGGCACAAACAGTTCTCTGCAGTTCACTGATGAAATTCTATGTAGACATTGAGACGACGGGCCAAAGTACAGAGTTCTATGACAAATTCACAATAAGGTATGCCAATGTCCCTGAAAAGGTACCTCCGAGCGTATAAGGCAATTTGTGTATAATATTTTATTTATAGATACCACATAAGTCATTTATTCAAGTCGATGTGGGAGAGTCCTGTCCATCGTCAGGTCATGATCAATGAATCGAACAATGGCAAGCAGTTTGTTAAGTTTATCAATATGCTTATGAATGATACCACATTCCTGTTGGATGAATGTTTGGAAAATCTCAAACGTATACATCAGACACAGGTGACTAATTACGGAGTTTAACCACTGACATGGTTTTTTAATCATTGATATGGTGTATGTTTTCAGATTATGATGGCAAATGATTCGGCTTGGTCAAGTCTGGGCTCAGAACAGCAACAAGCCCGTCTTTCACAGTTGGCAACGGACGAACGACAATGTCGTTCCTATTTAACATTGGCCAGAGAAACCGTTGAAATGTTCCACTATCTGACTGTGAGTTGAAGCACGATTACAGGTTTAATTCATTCATTCGTTATATTATGTTCATTTTGCAGGATGATATCAAAGAACCATTTATGCGTGACGAACTAGTTGATCGTCTAAGCTCAATGTTAAACTTTAATTTACACCAACTTTGCGGTCCTAAATGTAACGACTTGAAAGTACGCAATCCCGCCAAATATGGCTGGGAACCCAGGCGTCTTTTGGGACAGATTTTCGATATATATTTGCATCTTGACTGTGATAGATTTGCCCAAGCCTTGGCAGCTGATGAACGATCGTTCCAGAAACATTTATTTGATGATGCTGCCAATCGTATTGAGCGTCTGAGTATACGTTCAGCCATAGAAGTCGAGAAATTTAGAGCCTTGATATCCAAAGCGCATGATATATATGGTAGGTGGTGGTAATAGTTTGCCACGTTTTTTTACCCCAAAATTTAATTCGTACAATTATATTTTTTTAGTTGCAAATCAACAGTCTGAAGATGAATGTGCTGATGCTCCCGATGAGTTTAAGGATCCTCTTATGGACACACTTATGTCAGACCCGGTCGTTCTGCCATCTGGTACAATTATGGACCGTGCAATTATAACGCGCCACTTGTTGAACAGCAACACAGACCCCTTCAATCGCCAGCCATTAACTGAAGACATGCTGGTGCCGAACATTGAATTGAAAGAACGTATCGATGCCTGGCGCAAAGAACAACGCTACAAAAGGCAACAGCAGGGCAATTTAGATTTGAACGACAAGAGCTCCTAAATGTTGGCTAATCGTTTGCTATCGCCAACGAAATGCGAATACGTCTTCGTTGGCAGAATTCAAATAATTTTTATACATAAACACTTAGCTTATAATTCAAAATAGTTGTACTACTTAAAACGTAAAATATTAATTAATTATAGTAGTCATCCGTATGACTTTATCTCATCTTAAGTTTTCCTGTCATTGTCCGCAGCTCTCATCAGGATGATGGATGACGATGATCGAGGAGAGGTAATGCGTAGTGTGTTTGTATTGTATTTGGGGCAGTGTTGTACAGTATGCGTATGTAAACAAATACAAACCAATCCAATTAGATTGTTTGAAATGTCGTAGAATTCGCCGCCACCCTAGCTATCTCTCTATTTCTATCTCACTTTCCGGCCCAGTTATATTTATCCATGTTCTATATGAATTCAAGAATATACTGCAATGCTAGCAATACTCCAGGAATGAAATATTAAAAAATAAAACATAATTGATAAAAAATATATATGTTAAAAACACTCCAATGTTTTTATTTATTTTTTTTGTAGGAAAAGAATGTTTGATCTGATTTTGTGAAATTCAATCGAGGAAAGGTATACATTACAGGTCACCATATCACTCAAAATCATATGCAATATTTGCATGGATCAGGGAAATAGCGAAACTATTGGAAGCTTAGTAACAGCACCTCCAAAGTTAAGTTCAAACTTAAAGTGATTTTTTTGGGATTGTATGGGCTTGCGTTGTTCGTTCTTAGACACTTAATTAAGACGGAAAAATCCTTTCAGCTTTGAGTATCACGCTATCATGCGAGTAAAATTGAAACTGCTGCCACTAAGAACTTTTATTTTTTAATTAAACCTCAATAATGAAATTAAAAGTACACTATTAACCGTTCGTCTACAAAAAAAATAATAAACAAAATAACTTCGTACCAAAAAATGTACATAAACATTTGAATTTTGTGCAATGTACCATGCAATGTCCTATCGATAACAATCAACATGATATTGTAATATCGATAGTGAAATTGTCAGTTTGTATTTTCGATTTCTGTCATTTGTTTTGATTACTGTACTTATTGCTAATTTCTCCATTCTCATCTTCTTCAAAGAAGTACCAGCTGTGAGTCGTGCGTGTGTGTTCTAATAAGTAAAAATAGGAAAAAAAAACTCATTGTGAAAAATCTGTGAAAACCGACAGAGGACACACACACAATTCTTATTTTTTCGAAAATAGTTAACCAATTTCTTTGGTTTGTACGCGCCTAATTTTGGAGAGATTTTAATGGATCCCATGTAAGGCACATTTCATTGTCCATTCAAGGAATAATGATTCGTAATTTTCACATATTTATAGTGTCAACGAACCTGGATTTCAGGCGGCATCAGCTATGACAGCTGCTATGGCATCCATAGATTCCATTGATTCGGAAACATCCGATGCCGCTGGCCAATATCCAATGGAGGAATGTGTTTTCCTAGATCCAGAAGTTCAGCGCATAATGCGCTCCAATAATGACGATACCAGTGAGTACCCAAAATATGGATGGGTAGACATAACACAGGACTTCAAATCGGCATGCTCTGAGTTGAACTTGGGAGAATTAGCTCAGGACATGCTTTTTGGGCTATTTGAAGCGATGTCGGCCATAGAAATGATGGACCCCAAAATGGATGTCGGCATGGGATACAATAAAAATGACACCGCTCCACACACTTTTGAATCGGCAGTTGAGGTGAGCGATTTAATTCGATTCATTTGCTACTTACACAGATGATTCGTTTAATTCAGGCTGGAGTGCTGAAACTAAACAATTTGACCAACGGAGAGTTAATTGGCATTTTCGATGCACTTTTTTCGTGCATAGTTTCCTGGCTGGAGGGGAATTCAATGGATCAGGTTCTGTTCACCTGCCTGTACTTGCATGCCCCTGCGAAGATTGAAGACAAGCCCTTAAAAGCATTTGCACACGCCGTTCGCCAGTTGATTATTATTGTGAAGAACATCATCATATCGAGCAGTGTCAATGAGGAGGAAGATTTTCAGTTATATGGAAATTCATCCTTGTTGGCGCCTGAAGATTCGTCACATGTCGCCGGCATACCTACTATGCTCAAAGAAGCTGAGGACGACCTGGTGAGGCAGAGCAAAAGCTCGACCCAACCTGAAGACATTATGGCTGTGGTCCACCGTTTACGATTCATGCGGCACTTCTACCAGGCAATATATAGCTTTGATTGTGCCATGAAGTCAGTGGTTGATGAGCCCACAATTAATGATATCTATAAACATTTGAATGCCTCTCTTGAACTGACTCCGCAAATTAAGAAGACTATTGACAAGGGCACCCAACCAAAAGCCGGATGTTGGTATGGTTGAATACACGTTTGTCAATGTCTAATTTTGTTTCTTTGTTTTACAGCCGATTGTCCCAACGCATTGGGATTCTCCCCAAGAGTACATGACAGAAGCCAGCCGCCTACTTTCCCACGTAGTGTCAAAATGAGGGATCGGCCATCCAGCATCACGTTCTTGGAAGAACTGGTACATCGTCTAAAATATGCCTGCAAAATTATACGTATGCGGGACTACTACTCAAGTTTGGTAACTTTTGATTTCAAAAGAGAATATGTCCAGTTACCGATCACTGATCGACTTATCGTTACAGAACTTCTTCATCGAGTTCAGTCGTAAATCTGGACAGTGTATATTGTCACGAAGCGTCCTCCAGGGATTGTTTTTAAGCTGCAGGCGATTGGTGTTTGGTACCATTGCTTTCAAGGACTTTTTATGGGATTCGGTGAGAGCTTTCAATTCACCACCGATTCTAAACCCCAAAAACCCACTGGCCGCAGACCGCGAGATTCAAATGAACTTGAATTCGTTCTTTCGCTATTGCGTTAATACGTTCACTCAATTTTTGAGAATTTGTGGTTTCAACAGTGCCCGCCAACGAGATAAGTTAGGCAGGTTCATTGACAGTTTTGATCTCATTCAAGTGGAGGCAGCCCGATTGGATTCGTACCTTAGCATGTTGGCGAATGAGAAGTTGGCTGAAGGAAACGAGGTCGCGGCCACAACGCTCAAGTACAGTACACAATTTGCCACTTGGGTTCTGTACAATTGCTTTAGAGCCATGATGTTATATCTAATGTCGGGATTTGAGTTGGAATTGTATTCGGTTCATGAATTTCTGTACATCTATTGGTATGTGAACTGTGTGTAAATCTAACGCGGGTTAATGCTAAATGACATCATGTTTGTGATTCTATGACCATTAGGTATCCGTATGAACTGTTAATCGGTTTTATTGTTTCTGCTCTAACACGCACGGAAAACAATCTGTTGGCCCAGGAGGAATATGAACGGGAACAACAGAACAAAAGCCAGGTCGGAAGTGCCGCAAAGAATCGCAATAAACCAAAGCCGAAAAAGAACAAAAAGCAACAAAAACCATATCGTCAAGAAATTTTCTATTATCACGCCCTCCTAAATATGTGCGGTGGTTTTTATAAGGCTATGGGCGCCCTAACCAAGGATGGTCGAATACGTCAACCCATGCCAAAATTCGATAACGAAGAGATTCGTTTTAATCGCCGTTTTGCTCCATTTGCCAATTTGACATCACCTCCCCCCGTGTCGTATGATGAATTCAAGAATATACGCGAACATATGATGCGACCACCATCCTCGGAAATTTATGCAATAGCTGCTAAACATTTTGATCAAGCGCGCAATGCTTTGGAATCCATACAGAATCCTGAGCAAGAGGTTTGTGTCGTTGGTATATCTTCTTACAAAAACCAATGCTATACAATTTTGTGTTTGTTTCAGATCCTCGATATGCTGCAGGTGGCCAAAGTTAATTACGTAGTCATGAATGTACTAGCTAAAGGCCACCAAAAGGACACTAAACGTCAACCAGAATTTGACTTCTCTAAACATCGTCATTTCCCCATCATCAAATTGAATTAACCAGGCGCGGAAATGTGAACTTAAAGGACATTTATTTTAAAATAAACTTGTGAAGAATGACCAACTATCTGCTCTTGTCGTTGTCTACCACTATATCCTGTTTAATTACGAACTCTTCTGTGTAGCCCTTTCCACCGGGCAGGGGACAACTGTTGGGACATGTGTAAATAGCCAAGACGCCCCAATCCAAGCTGGAATCCTGTAGATAGTTAAGCATTTGTGGCATTATTTGGAACTCGAATTCTCGTGGAGTGCCGCAGATGCTGCATGCCGGTATATTTTCAAGGACATCTTTGATTTTGTCTTTATTTGCTATCCACAAGGGTGCACCTTTGCGCATATACCGAATGACTTGTCTTGGTGCTGCAGCGCATTCCTTGCGAAATTTACGAAAATCCTTGTCATCCACTTCCTCACATCCGCTGGTATATTTTTCCAGCTCTGACTCGGGTAAATTCTGAAATTGACCTGCCTTACCAGAGCTAATGAGTTTGTCCAACTCCTGTAATTGTTCTTCTTCATTTACTTCAGTTTTATTGGCGCTTCCTTCGCCGTCGGTTACACTTTCATCGTCCGGGTTCATACAGATTTCCCATTCGGGGAAAACAACCTCTTGAATAGGTTGTCCAATGGCTGATTTCTGTTCATCAGAGGGTTTCTCAGCAGAACACACTAGTTTATGATATTTCCATTGCAATCGTTGATGTTCAGGTCCACAATAGTTAACTTTCCGACAACGGCTACACAGCAGTTTACCAACACACCCACATGTTGCACATAATTTCAACTTGGGAGGCAGTACTTCAGGCTACAAAGAGACGTTGCAACAACAGCAATTACTAAAAATGAAATTAAAAAAGCAAATTCTATGCAGGAAACGTACAACTTCTACTCCATCTTCTGTTGGTACTGCCGAATAGAAGCGGTTACGCATTGGCAGTTGACTGCGTAGGGCCGTGATACACTGGCTGTTGTCATTGGCCACATAGCATGATTCGGTCCGACAAACAAAAACAAAAATTGTTCTATGGAAATTGTGATCATCCTCAAAAGGAGCATAAATCTGTTTAAGGAAAAGCAATGAATAGTTAGGTATATAATGACATTTGTGGTATCGAGATTTGAAGTCCCACCTGACAGAGAAAACTTTTTGGTTTTCCACATTTTTTACAACGAAGTGTATCGGTTGTAGGCAGATCATCCAAATCTAGCCAAGCAGGTCTACCACCAATCTTACTCGGAAAATTGGCATTTGTCAACCACTTGGATTCACATTCTTCTGCAAAACCCAAATCAATATCAGACATTGTTTATTTTTAGAAGAAAAAAGAATAGCTATGCTATTGGACTTTTCGTGTAGTTTTTCACGTGCGTTAAGATGTTTAGTTCATGAACGCTCTAGTTCAATTCTGCGATTCACGGCATAGAGCGAATGAACTATGTATGATAGGTATGCACTGTGAAATGACTACTTGTCAGATTATAAAACATGACCCAAAATAATATGAAGGCTCATTTAGACTCAATTTATAAACCTAGGTATATAACTCTAGCTGTTTAGAATAAAATTAAATTATATAAAGTCAATTTTTGTTTACGTATATATTTCCAATTCCACGTAGCCGGTCAATATTCTCATAATTCTAATCTGAATTGCTCTCCATTAGGTTAAAAGCATGGTACATTAACTAGAGTTAGGCTATCTTGACAAAATTAACAATAACTGTAGTCTAGTGTAATGTCTTATTATTAAACATTTTAACGATTTTTGAGCTGCCAAATAGATACATGAAGGTGCAAAAGTAGAGTTTAGCACAGGATTTTGAGCTTCAATTTTTTATGGCTTTTTTGGTTTACTCAATTCAGTATAATGTAAATGTACTACAAGTCGAGATAAATACAACTCGATTTAGCAATTACATCGAGATACGGCTAGTGTTTTATTTTATTTACGATGTAAATAAAAAGGTCTATCAATAAATTGCCTATTTCAACCCGCCTGCACGAATCTTCTATTAACCGCTTTCTTTTTAATTTGAAAAAAATACGACATTTTAAAACTGAATTACAAAAATGCAACAGTATTAATCCGAATAAAGACCGAACTACTCAAAAATCACAAGAAGTTATATAATGCAGTGTGCAATAAAAATATGATTATAATTATGTAAATGTGACTAGCAATGCAACCAAAAACATTTTTTTAATACAATTAGAATATCAACTCCAAACAAATGTAAACACAAACACATTTAAAGTTTGGAAACAGACAAAATCTAATATTAATTAACTACTAGTTTGATATAAGCGTTTTTTTTTTTGTTCTCCATCAACTATAATCGTAACAGCTGCTTTCGATTATTGACAACACTGTTTAATGTCACAATTTGCAAAAACAACCTGTCAAAGTGCAGAGAGACACAGTTGTGTGTAAAAACAGATTCATTGAACAGAAATAATATACGAAGACGACGTACGCACATCCAATACATATAATTTCGTAAATACAAATTCAAGAAATAAAGATACTATCTGCAATCGATCGAATCGAACGGAAAGTGGACGCAGCTGAAAGATTTTGTGAAATTTTAACCAAATCACGAGTGCGTGTGTGTGCGTATACGGAGGAATGTGTCACCAAACAATGCAGAAAGAACGGAAGTGAAAAAGTGATTATAAGCAGCAACTACGCCAGAAATATCCCTCTCACGACGTACATATATGGGCGATACAAAGACAAAAAATGAAGTTTTAAAAAAGAAGGAATTTATGCAATACGACGACGTTTTTTTATCGGAAAAAAGTACGTAGAAAAATGTTGGCACTAAAGACTCGGCATGCGAATGTGTGTGTGTGTTGTTTACATTGATTTGCATTGGGTAATGTCAAAACATTCGAATGACCGTAGGCGGGGAAGAGAGAGGGAGACGAAGAGAGCGTGAGAGTGACGGACTGTTGTGGCCATAACATTTGAAGCAGGGAATGCTTTGGAATTACGGAATATATGGTGGGGTAGGCCTACTGTAATCCGTTGTCTTCTTACCAACAAAATATCACGACTACCACCCAAACAACGCAACAACCTCTGCACCCTTTGAATTCATAAGTAGATGGGGTTTGGGCTATCGCATTACTCATTGCCTGCCTTCTTTGTTTGGCAGCACCGACGAGGGTAATGAAATTATTAAAAACAAACAACAAATATCGATAATATTTAAAGACATTTGATTACGCAAATATAAGGAGCGTGTTGAATGAAACAGTCATGAAGGGTATAGGACCATAAGGAGGAGGAGGCGCCGGCGGAGGTGAAGGTTTTGTCGCGACATTTGATTCGTTTCTTGTGTTTGGGATGTTGCCGCTGTTGCTGCTGCTATGGCCCATTGTTTATAAATAACATTTAGAGCAACCTGCTCTATCATAAGAATTAATTTCAAAAAATATTCGGAAACTAACGCTGTCGCCGATGACGCGCAAGAGTGGTGAACGATTCGGTCTATATTTTGGTCGCATTTTTAAACAAATGGTGATCCCATGAATGCATGCATGGGCCCTAATTTTCTCCAATTGAAACATTGCCAATTTTGTTGTTGTGTTGTTTTGATGACGAAATGGCCACAGATGGACGTTAATACCGGCTATTTATATACATATTTTTGGATTTCAATATTTCTCCTTCATTTGGGGAGTATCTAGTGCAGATAGTTGACAAACAGAATGAAATACCTCTTTTTTTGCAAAAAACTTTTAGTGGACTGAATTTTTTACAATTTGGGGAATTCCCTCCTCAACTCAATTAATTTTGAATCGGGGGACTTCACTTATTTCTACAACAAAAATAGGAATTAATAAGATAATTGCAAATTCTATTCTTATTTGCTTGCAGTAATCCACCACAGACTACAACCCTCACATAAGCGCCACACATAAGATCTAGGGTGCAAAATGTCGGATTTTATGCCGCGAGATATTTTACCCGATTTGTGGGAGGAAATACTGAAACGCCATTGGACTTATTTGGAGACTGAGGAAAGTATACACAAATTGGAGGAGCGTAAAAAATTAGAAGGTAAGTCAGTCGATCGCAAAATCTCAAAAAATCAGATCACTAATCTGTCCTACTTTCTTTTTCTCTTCGTTCTAGGATGCTTAAAGGAATTGCTGTGCATTGTTCGACATGATCGCAAATTTTTTTTGCCCGAAACCGCCTTGGTCTTAAAGAATTCAATACGCGAGCTTAATGATTTCAATGCCCAGAAGGCTATTGGGGCTTTCGAGGCCATAAGTCAATATGCAAACAACCTATTTACCAAACCATGGCGTAAGGAGTTTCATATTTTAAAGGTTTGTACATTGAGCTGTGTGTGTAGCTTGCTTTCATTGACCACTAACTTTCGTAATTTGCAGATGTATTCGGGTTTCTTTCAACATGAAATTCACTCAAATTTGATAGATGCCGAAAAACTATTTGAGGCCATGGGTTATCGTCGTTTATCAAATGATACATTAATTTTAGACGGTCCGATATGCCCCGACCAGGTTACCAACGTATCACGCGACGCCATGGCAGCCTATGTGGAATTGCAAATAATGAAGAACATCTACATGGCATTGAATGGAAATAACATGACGACTACTTGGCTGGATATTTTTCGCTATCGAGAAAAACATATTGGTACGATTTGTTATTCTTATTATATCTTTGCCTCTACTAATCGAAAAAAAATGAAATCTTATCTTATAGGTGGTATCTCACAAGCTGTAAAGGATTTAATCTATGTGTCGGAAGAAAAACGTTATCGCCTTCGGGAGAAAGCATTAGCTGGGGCTGGAGACAATTATGGCTATATTGATGTGCAGCCATCACCAAGCTATGTCCCACAGCCCACTGCATGCCAATGTGGTAATGTTCAATATCAAATACACCAACCGCCAAGACAAAGAATAGCGTCCAATGGACCCTGCTGTGTACATGAAATGCAACGCAGTCATCCCAATGCAATGTTCGGTAATATGAATTTCTCAAATCATATTCATTCACCGGCGGCTATGGGAAATGAAAATATAAGTCATCTACCTCACTCTAGAAGTCTGGAACATTATAGTGAACCGGCAAGCATGCATCAGCATAATATGTTGCCACACAGGCATTCATTTGATCATCAGCAAAAGGGCTGTACTGCTGCTGGCCATCATCAACACCAGAATTACGGACAAATGCAAAGATTACATCATTCGATTCAACAGCAGCAACATTTCTATCGCAATCCTGCTCAAAATTTCTATGAATCACCCTACGAGTGCGTAGATGACACGTCAATGGGAGGAGGCAGTAGCATTTCTTATGCAGCTGTGGCAGCCTCGTCCACTGGTCCTGAAATTCCAAACTCGAATAATTCAAATCCCTATAATGTATCTGGTAATCGTTATCCCTTGCCGTATAACATCTCCAATCAACTATCAGCCTACGACAAAGTTTCTTCACACTCAGCATTGGAATCCTCCTCATATGGTCCCGACAATCACATGTATGCCCAGGTCTCCAAGGTGCCTCAAGGATACATGATGAACGCATCGGGTAATATGATGGGATCTGGAGTTGTTTATGCAAAGCCTATGCAAGCACCCCCTTCAGAGCAGTTGATTGATTTCGATGACCCTCCCATTATACCTCCACCACCAGCTGAACAATTTGATCCCTATCATCAGCAGTATCAACACCACGATGCATTGAAGGCGAAACGCAGCAGTAAAGTATATGAAACGGATTATGGTCAAAGGAGAGATCAGAGCTGTGGTAACAACGCAGCGGATATGTATGTCTATGCAAAACCAATACCAAAGGAAAACCGCCAAAGTCATAAACCATCTACACATAACTCCATGGACAAGTCGTATTCCAAAAAACCATCATACAATTCGAATGAGCGAGGTGGCGGCGATTCCACCGACTTTAGTTATGAGTCGGGCAACGATGATTTCTCGAATATACATAGGCAACATTCGCCGACTCAATTCAGCAAGAATCAAGATGGCGTTGGATCTTTCGAGTCGTGGAATTATGTTTTCAAAAACCTGGAACGATCGGCATACACAAAAAATCTCGGCGATCGGGAAGATTTGCTGGTAAAGTCATTACATTTGGATTCTATGAATATAACAACAAACGACTCAACAACTACACCGAGCCAAACAAGTTCGGTGGAAAAGCGTAGATCTATCCACAAGGAATTGGAAAACAACCAAACTGCAATGCCTGCTACCAGTAAGCAGGATGTCTGCACCTCTCCGCCAAACAATAGTTATAGTAAACAGCAGCAAAAGCCTCAGATAGACAATAAACAAAAAATGAAATCGACGCTGAAACAGTCTTCTCTTGCTGTCAGTAATAACACCAAACAACAGCAGCAACAACAACAAACAAGCAACAGTAATAGGAAATCTGTAAATTTGTCCAAAACTAACGACAATAAGAGCAAGGCCAACAACAATGATAATAATAACAGTGTGGTTGGCGGCGGCGGTGGAGGCAGGCAGAACAAGAAATCGTCCTCCACAACAATCAATGCAGTGAAAAGGGGAGCTTCCGAAGCAGTGCCCGCAGCCAATAGTGCGACTAATATGCCGTCATCGACGCAAATAATTGTCACGGGCACAAATGAGTGGAGTTGCCGCTTTTGCACCTTCATCAACCCGGATTCAACGAGAATTTGTGAGATTTGTTGTCGCACCAAAGATAATAATTTAAATGCCTCATCAAGTGGCGCAAACGCAACGCAACAATCTGTGAATCATACAGCGCCAACATGTGTCTAGAGAAGTTCTCTGAAGCTCTGCTAACCCCAATCTGCATTACTATTTTATAAATATGTACCTGCTGCTATTTCTACTACAGATGGATACCCGTTGGTTTTTTTGGGATATGGTTTCTTGACACCTGTCATCACCTCCTGCTCCTCGTTATCCCGTCCCCATTTCCACCAATCCAAGTGGATAATTTGTGTTTGTGTGCGTTTATTTTTTACTGGAGGCGAGAAAACAAACTACGAATTTGATCATTTCTCTAAACCAGAATAAAAGGACTGAAGAATTTATTAACGATAGTCAGAAAATGCGTGGCAATCCTTTACTCTACAACAAATAACTTAATAACAGATAATTCAAAACCAGGCTTTACATACATACACTCTATATATATATTTTTGAATTCTATGAAAATAAAATACGTATTACAGTAAAAAGCCAGATCGATAGCTAATTCACACACTATTTATTATACCCCAAATGTGTATAATAATTGCAAACAGATAGATAAAAGAAACTTCACGAATTTTGAAAGAGAAACGAGTGAAACATTTGTACTTTTAAAAGGATTTTACAAAAGATTGATACGATGTTAAACAAAAATATAAAATTGTACTCGAAATTTTGTGAAGTTTAAACATGTCATGTAAATAAATAAACAAACGTACATACATACTTTTCTCATTGTATTATACGATGGTAGATTTTATTTGGAAAGACTTGTATAATCAATGACGGTTGCAAATATCTTGTTTTTTTATGAATGTTATTCTGAATTATTTTCATACATAAAATTTGTTTTAATATGTGTATGTATGTAATTCTCGTACTTTAATATTTTTACAATGAGGATTGTAATTAAATATCAGTTGTCTCCATATTATATCCTTTCCAAATAAAATTTACTAACACGAAAGAATGAAATCGTATTAATTATAGTCTTAACCATATTAAATAGAGATAATAATAAAAATACAACATACTTACATTAAGTGTATGTATGTACAATATATACAGATAAGTTTCCAACAGAAAAATGTGCCTCCCCTGCGTTTATGAATATAGTTTTGATTTGTTGTTGTTCACATTGTTTTATTTACATTTGAATATGAAATTATATATAAAGAAAGAAATATAAACCTACATGTATACAAAAACATAATTATGAATATGGGTTTGCATTGTTTGTTTGTCATAACGAATCTGTGTTTTAAACTGAAAACTGACAGATATTTTCCCATATGAAGTGAAATTGCTTGATGTCATCCCTTTGTTTTTTATTTTATCATTACATTTAAATATATATTTATTTAACTGAAACTAAAATATAATTTGTATTATTTGCCCCTTTGAGAAAAAAATATTAACAACTGAATCCTATTGAGACAAGAAAAAACAAAAACAATAAAAAGAACTATAAATAGACTTGTAATATTTGATATTTCACACATACACACCCTACATACACCCACTTACAATGGAAATATAAAAAAACAAGACACCAAGCAACTATTTATTATTAAGGCGTTTTCATAATAATATTGGAAAATAGACCTGACCTTCCATTAAAGCAATTGAAGATTTGAGCTTATTTGTATCGGATGATGAATGTTTTGGTTCTGAACCTATAATTTTACTTGAGCTATAATCCCCAGTTTTATGTTTTAATTTCTGTTAAACGGGTAGTAATCTTACGCGAATTTTACTTTTTTATTCTTTGTTCTCTCCAGAAACATAATGGTTGTTAATCACCTCATAACAGAATTGAAGAGTGGTAAATATTTGATAGACACAATTTTCGTATTAATAAAAAAAGGGAAGGATGGAAGAAACAACAATATTTTGAATGCTTTAAGTATTTTAATATTAAAAAAACAAACACACAATAACAATGGTTTAAGTATTAATTCAAAAGAGGATGTTTAATATATATCCCTCTAATATACGTTTATAAAACTTACTCTGTTATACATACAGCCACAACAAACAAATACATTTCGCATAATAAAAACATTAACAAATATATCCTTTAGAGTTTGCTGAATTTTGTTTTGTAATCTGGCATTTGGTAAGACATAGGAATCGGGATATTTACACATACCTGAAAGAAAAAAAAAACATATATATGTATATAAAATTATCGTAAAATAAAAAGGATGTTTTACATATTCGATGTAGATGATCAAAGTAACAAAAACTGAAAGCTGAAAAAAATTATTCTGGCTTAACTCAAGTTTATTAAAAACGATCAATTTTTTTTTTTTGGATTTTTTCCAGAGGTAGATATTTTTACCCTAATTATGGGGATATATTTTTTCATGGAGGCGTTCCCGGCTATTTGACCCGGAAGGTCGGGTACCGATACCCGGTTATTTGACGTGGAAGTTTGGGAACCGGTACCCGGTTATTTCAAATCAGTAAAAAAAACCTGGGTTTTTGATTCCGATTTTTTTTTTGAGAAACTCGCTAAAACTCAAACTTGCGTCCGTTATAGTCCCTCCCCAATCCCGACTCAAATGATACTCTACAATTTACCTCTTTCAAAATGGTGCGATATGTGGCTTTATCCTGTGAGGATCAAAAGATATGGGCCTTAGAACCCTGCAAAATCAAAGAAACTCTACCGTAAGAATTGTAGTGGGACTATAATGGACCCAAATTCGACTTATAGTTTTTTTAATCGGGGTCCAAACCCCAGTTTTTTTACTGTTTGAAATATCCCCTTCATATCACAACTCAATGCAAAGGTGTAAACTTTACAATGATGCCCATTTTGTATAAATCGGATCCGTAGAACCACCTACCGGTACCCGAACTTCGGGGTCAAATAACCGTGTACGTCCCACAAGAGATTAATATATATATCCCCATAATTAGTGTAAAAATACCTACATCTGGAAAAACTTTCAGAAAAATTTGATTGTTTTTACTAAACTAGAGTTACTTTGTCTCATCTTTGTCATCGCCATAGGCTGTCAGTACGATTTGACCTTTGTAATTATTGCGGGCACGATTCCTGTCAACGTACGCACAAAGGGCTTCATCTGGCATCGCCTTGGCAGAGTTTTCGACAGGGGTTACTACTATACATGAGGTATAGTAGTTCCCTTGAGCGGAGAGTCTCTCCTGAAGCTGTTTCTTGGTTCGATGAAATACCTTTTCGGACATTGAGTTGGGTTTTTTTATCTCTGACAAAAGCAAATTGCCAAAATTATCCAGTGCTTCATCCGTTTTAGAACTTTTGGGTACTGGTGTTGGCTGCGAGGCTATAAAATAAACGTTGGAGCTCCCGACCACTCCGTAGCTAATTGTTTTTCAAATATAATTTAAATAATACTGCTTTCCGAAACTCCTAATTGATGGTCCACCTTCTATGTTCCGAAGCACTTCATGTTTCATACCAAACCGAATGAATTTTGAAATAATAAAAAATCTTTGAATACATTTCATATGTTCATTTGTATTTAAGAGAAATATAGTAGATCACAAATAAGAGAGCAATTTGAATACGTGTTTTTCAAATATAACCTTTTTAAATAATACCATTTCAGTACCATTCCAATCCTCCATTAAACCATGATATATATATTTTTTTGGATTAGAATTTGTGATGGATTTGACCGGCTAAAGTATTGCAGATAAAGATACTGATGTGATTGCAAATTTTTTCTTAAAAAAATGAATGGGTTCACGACTGATAACTGTTCAGTTATGATTATAATTACAAACATTAAATTAATTTATCAGTTCCAATCTCAATTTGGCGTACTCTGTGCTATCTCCTGAGGTAGGCAAATTGATGACATTCATAGTCGTCGTGATTACTTCAATAATTTCAAGAGCACTTTGGAACTGAAATTCGTGTTAGTTTGGGGTATATTGACTTTCGAGGAAGAGGAAGTCAATAGCATACATATTCAAATGCAATCGAAAGAAGCAAGAATTCTCATATTATTACCATCAGAAAGATAGACTAAGTGGTGATATCTTGAAAATCGATCTTTATGAAACTGAATATTTTTTTTTTATTTTCTTGAAAAAAAAGTACTCTTTTATTACAAAAAGTACTCTTTTTATACCTTTTCACATTTTTCATTTTCCATCCCTGGTGTGGAATAGTAAACGAGAGAGAGGACAGAGTAAACAAGTAAGAGTGTATGGTGTGCAGCCAACCGAAGTAGAAAATAATTTTTAACGTCAGCCTATCAACGTACGCCTCTTTAGCTCAGTGGCAGAGCACTGGTCTTGTAAACCAGGGGTCGTGAGTTCAATCCTCACAGGAGGCAACTGAAATATCTCTTTTTTTGGATTATTTTTAAAATTTCTATATTTTTAATTAGCATATGCTTATGTATTTCAGTACCTAAACAATAATAAGTTCTTAATATTGATTTTTTCTAATTCTCATTAGTGGAAGGCACTTTTGTTTGTCGGAAGTGGTGGCGGTGGAGGTGGTTTACAATAAGCTGTAAATAAAACGCATTTGAATAGTGAAGACTCAAACCATAGTGTGGTGAGGCAGTGAGTTGTATACTAGTTATGTAGGTTAGCTAGTATAACAGATGCATTTTGATCAGAATGGGAGATTTTTTATTATAATTAGATTTGAATATATTTTAAAATACTAAAAATGTAATATCATCAACTAATTTAAATTCACCGGTAGAATACCTTTAAAATATTTCAAATGTGATGGGGCCAAATATTCGTCGTATTCGGACAAATACCAAAGACATCCCTTGAGAATAGAACTTTTACTAGGATGATTCGTTTCAGAAAAGTTTAGTGCAGAAAAAATTAAATAAAGGCCAATGGAATACGGTAAATACTATCTCATAGAAATTTGTCAAAAAATAAAAAAAATATGTATATTTTTCCAAATTTTTTCAAACTTCGATTTCGAAATTAATAAAAAAATATTTGACTGTTTTTTTTTACTGTATTACTCCGATCGTTATAATAGGCCCGAGCATCTTTGGGCCCTAAGATCTATCAACCAAATCTCCATTAGATTCTCAGCATTGTATCTATAAATATCGGCATGTGGGAACAGTAAACATGAGAAACAGGCACAACATATGCGCGTGTATGTAAATCGGTGTGTATATTCGGGCGAATACATTTCACTTTTCATTCTCTCTTCTCTGCAGCATCAAAGAAACGGCCACATGCGGCCGAATTTTCTTTTCAGAAAATTCATATTGCAGTTTTCATTCAATAGTTACGCTATTAATACGTCGTGATATCTGCCTCTTGTTCTGTGGTGTTGAAAAAAAAAATACTTAAAGAATTTTCTTGAAAAAATTAAACAATTACATTTCTATAAATTCTGTATAATTTTGAATTAAAAAAATGTCTTCAACATTGGGCGAAAAGAATTATTTTGCCAGTTATTATGTTCAACTTAAAAATAGTATTGAACATTTCGATGAAGAAGTGGAAAAAATTGGACAGTGTAAAAATGATTTGGAACGCGTACATTTTGTAGAGAATTTCAAGGGTCTCAATGAGGGACAAGACGAAGCCCTACAGATACGTCGAGAATTCCGTGGTAAAAGTGCCGCCATCGCCCTTGACTTTAAGGAAAAGGGTAATATGGCATTTAAGGCCCAAAAATGGTTGGAGGCAATGGTATTGTACACCAAAAGTTATGTGGCTCTGCCGGAAGATAATGGTATGCTATGCATGTGTGTTTGTGTGTGGTAACGAAATACTCTCGCGAGCACGAGCTCTAGTCGAGAGCATATTCTCATTTTCATTGTTTCCTTTCTCAATGCAGTGAACGAAAAATCGATTATTTTGGCTAATCGTTCGGCGGCGTTGTATCATCTGGAGAAATACGACGAAGCAATGATCGACATAAAGCGGTCACTGGACTATGGCTATCCAAAGGATTTGTTATATAAATTATATGAACGTTTAGCTAGATGCTACATGGCCAAGAAGGATTATCCAAATACAATCAAATATTTCAAGTAAGTAAATAAAATTGTGTTGGAAAAATTAACGATAGTTCTTAAGGATGTAAATTTCGAAATGATATTTGTATTGGAAATTGTTATAAACGGTAAATCTCACTTAGAAAAAAGAACAGGAATTTGTTTGTCTTAAAAGAGACATTTGTAACAGATAAACTGCACAGATTTGCCAATAGGAAAATTATTTTTCTTATAGGAAAAATAATTTGTACCTAATTTGACTTGTATGTAAGTTGTACACATTTCAAAAAATAAAAACAAATAAAAATATAATAAAAATTCAAAGTGAATGAACATTTTACAAGCGGAAAATTTATCGAAAATATTTAAAATCAGAATTATTTGAATATAATTTTGATGTACTTGGAAATATAGACTGCGAAAATTCAGAAAAAGTATTGATGTGCAATCATATATACTAAAGTGATTATTTCAATCCAAATTATGTAAAGCATTTTTTTCAAATCAATTGCTATTAAAAATATTTTAAATTCTTTTAGATTAATGATAACGTCCATGGATGATGCCAAAAATTTACCAGCTACGCGAAAATCTCAATTGAATACGGTGGCCATGACAATGATAAAAATGTTGGAACGTGATCCACGTACCAATAAACAAATGGAAATCAGGAAAAAGAAGGGACTACCAGAGGAGGTGCCACTGTCGCTGGCCATAGCCGATGAAAAAGAGTTCATCAGTGAGGCAATACGTTTCGATGAAAATCGCTGTGAAGGTCGTTTTGTTCGAGCTGCAACCGATGTTAAGGTTGGTGATGAAATTCTGGTAGAGAAACCATTTGTGGCTGTTCTTTTGGAGAAATTTGCCAAGACTCATTGCGAAAATTGTTTCATAAGGTGCGTATTTCCGATAAAAAAAAAAAAACAAAAAAAAAATGCATGCATACATTAATCGAGAATGGAATTTCCAGAACTGCAATTCCCGTGGCCTGTCCCAAGTGTGCTGATGTGGTTTACTGTTCGGAGAAATGTCAAAAACGTGCCGCCAAATCTTATCACAAATATGAATGCGGTATTTTACCCACAATCTGGAGTTCGGGAGCTTCGGTGAATTGTCACATGGCTCTTAGAATTTTGACCAGTAGATCTATGGATCATTTCTTGGAGGTATTTGACAAGATTGACGACAAACTTACTGCAGATGAGATTCAAAAGTAAGTTATGGCCATATTTTATGGGTTCGCTGAGCTTATTTTAATGAATTTATTATTGCAGAATACCCAAGGATGATTATCGTCGCATCGCCCATTTGGTCAGACATGAAGATGAACGTACTGCTTCGAATTTCTTCCAACATGCATTGATGGCCCGTTTCCTAACGAAATGCCTAAAAGCGGTGGAGTATTTTGGTGAAAATCCCAAAGCTGAAGATATTCTCAAAATTGAATCGATTGCATTGAGAAATTTGCAATTTTTACAATTCAATACCCACGAAGTTGCTGAACTGCACAAATCTCAAACGGATGGTAGTGAGAAGACAGCGTTCATTGGTGGTGCATTGTATCCGACATTGGCATTGTTCAATCATTCCTGCGATCCCAGTGTTGTGAGGTTAGTTTATAATAGGGATTTGTTGCTGTAACGATGTATTATATTGAATCTGGATCCCGGCCCCTTTTGGCAGACTTTCGATTATTTGAATCTCTCTTAGATGATTTTCCGGTTCCCTTGAAACATACCACGTTATTATGTTAAAAAACTATGTCTCTTGAGTTTCAGATTATCCAGAGTCGACTTTAGTTATTTAGAATTCAGATACGACACAGCAGCTTTTATTTTACAAACCCTGCAAGGACATTTATTTCATTCAATATTATCTTTGCCATTTTCAGATATTATCGCGGTACCACCATACACATTAACATGATCAAACCCGTTGAGGCTGGCTTGCAGATATGTGAAAATTATGGCCCCATCTATACTCAGGAAACGCGTAACGAACGTCAGGCCAAACTCAAGGATTTGTATAAATTCGAATGTTGCTGCGATGCCTGCCTGGAGAATTGGCCCACATTCGATAAGTTGCCCACAGATGTTATCCGATTCCGTTGTGATGCACCAAATAAATGTAATGCCGTCATTGAGGTGCCACCGAACTGCAACGATTTCATGGTCAAGTGTTTAACCTGCAACGAGAGTACAAATATTCTAAAGGGTCTGAAGGTTATGCAGGTGAGTCCGGCAATGAAATATATTGCGAACAAAAAGGGTGTTAAATAAATGGTGTGTGCTGTTTTCTGTTTTTTAGGATACGGAGATGATGACACGTACCGCCAAACGTCTATACGATACTGGCGACTACTCGAAGGCCCTTAATAAATATGTGGATTTAATTAAAATCATGTCCGAAGTTTTGGCTCCACCTTTCCCCGATTATTGCCAGTGTCAACAATTCTTGAAAGATTGTTTCCTACATTTGGGCAATTTCTATAATTTGGATTAAATTGGATTTTGATAATTGGCTAGACTCTATAGCAAATTCTTTCGGTTATTTTTTTTTTGTAATTGATGACTATTTGAAATAAATGAAACTCAGAATAATGCTAATTTTAGAATTCATGATAATTCAAAATTAGAAGAATTGGAAATTTTTTAAGTGGAATGCGGGAGTGAAAAAAATTGTTCCGTCTTGGGAGTGGAAAAAAATTATTCCGTCTTGGAACGTTTCATAAAATATGAATAAGTTTGACAAACTTCGATAATCCCTTGACATGATATTTCTGATTTATTAGGAAGTTAATAATAGGAGTAGACCTGTGAGTCGTTTAAGGGACATTTAACTTAATAATTTAACCTCAATACAAGATTACACGTCTAAAAATACAGACCCTTTTGAATTACAAGGTTTTAATAATTTTTTATTTTCCAATCTTTTAATTTTTCAATACCTTAAAATTATTTGTTTCCCCTCAATTTATATTTTATTGATATAAAAATGTATTGTCTTTTGTTTTAATTTAAATTTTCTATATAATATAGTATTACATAAATGACATTAATGGTGTACGGAAAAATTAGAAACCCTTACAGCCGAACGAATCGCTTGAACTTTCGGCAATTCGAAACTAAAAACAAATTAACGAAAAGAAATTGAGTGTAAAAATCTGTCAGCTAATCCAATTATGGACCATGTAACAGAATGTTAAATCGGGCAGTTAAACGGTTATCAACTTCATTGACAATGGCATCGAACACAGGGGCCGGCCGGCTGTTGACAATAACAACGACGAACAAAAAGGTAGGAACGGACGATCGACCGGCTTATAGACCATATGTGTGTAACTAAAATATGCTCTGTAATCACACATATAAATCAGATCGAACAAATGATAAAAAGGATCAACGACTGATCAACGGATGGATGGATGGACGGGTGAAGGGGACGGCATCGGACAGAAGCTAAACCAAAAATCAAAGACATAAAATGTAATGATCGAATCGTTAAATTGAAGTGACAGATTACATGAAAATTAAATCGTGTGCCAGTCAGTCAATCAGCCATTCAACAAAAGTAGCAGCAGCCCGCTAAGCAACAACCGACCAACCAACCACCTATCTTTTGTAACCCAACCTCAACCGACCATTCATCCGGGGCGAGACAATTGTCATCAACTCAACGTAAAACGGCAGCTGTACTCTTTGGCCTATGAAAAATTATCACGGAACGTGTAAAAAAGGGTCGTCTCTGCCATTAGTCTGTTGGTTGGTTGGTGGCGTTAGACTCTTGCCGTTCTTGTTGTTGTTGTGGCGTTAGAATGATTTTTTTGTTTGTTTTTGAAAATGTCCACCCTTAAATGTTACAACGGAAAATCCTTTTATGATTTTGTTGTAACTGTATTTTCTTTTGTGTGTTTGTTTGCGTGTTACATGCTATGGTTTATGATTTTTTGTGTGATTTGCATAGCTCATTAAAATGATGTACTCGTATCTATAGTTGTTTCTTTACACGTCAGTCATCGGAAGTGAGAGAACATCACTTTGGCTTTTAATTCGATATTCCATAATAATATTGGATATTAAAATTAGTAAATTGTATACCCTTCATCATGAGTTGGTGTGTATATAGAGTTTGTCATTCCATAGGAACATCTTGAAATATTCACCAGACACCCCATAGATTTTTGATCAGAATAAAGATATATGCTGATTTGATGTCTTTCCTTGAAATCACTGTAGAACTTGCAATATTTAATATTGAACTTTAACATTTTGTACATATCGACGCCTCCGTACCATAGTATGCTAAGTCGACTTAGCATATTTTAAAGTTCTTTACGTTTTTTGATACTACGGTCCTTAATTTAAATTCTCTGAAATTTTGGTAATCATCGGCCAATCCAAACCAAAGTTATAAGCAAAAATGTACTTAGCATGGCACGTACGATTAAAGAAACTTCCGTACTTTGAAAGCTTCTACTGAAAAACTCACTTTTCAGACTTAGCATACTATTCTTCGGAGGCGTCGATATGTACATTGGTACTACTTCTAGGATGTTTTTGAATTTGTAATGAGATATATCGGTCCACTTTTTGGTATAGCCAAATAGTAAGTATTTTGGATTTTTGAACCGAATTGATATTTATTTGGAATAATTTTTGTAGCAAATCTTCCAACTAAAAATTATCAATATTGCCACACTTTTTAAAGAAAAGTTGAGCAAGTTTTAAATCGAATCGTATCATATTTGATATTTTGTGTTCTCTACCAAAATCAGAAGTATCGGTTATGGTATAGCTTCCATATAACGGAAACCAATTTTTTTAAAGTTTCTTCGCCTCATTTTCCCATCGAGGGCATAGCTTGTGGAGGGAATGAAACTGAATCGCACAATCTCAGACATTGTTTGGTGTTTTGTGCTCAATCGCTGACTGGATCATTGGGCTTCCTGGATAATTTAAATTTTATGTTTTTTTCTTATTTTGAATTTCTGAGTTCAACATAAAGTCTAGGATTTTTAATACGTCTTATTGGTCCACATTTTGATATATGCGTCATATAACAAATATATAGACATAATTTTTTGTATATATGATCATGTTGGGTTCCATATCTTTTTTTAGGTAACCACTTTGCAAAAATTACTCTCTACCTTTTGTTTTTTTCCTATTTACTCTAAAGATCTGTGATGTTGATGCCGTATTGTTCTCTGCGCGAAAGGTATTAATTTTAATTTAGCCATAATTCCCTTTTGATGCATAATCTCCCTCCAACATTTAATTGCAGTGCATTTTACAGGCTATTATTATTGTTATTATTTTACTTTGGAAAGAGTCCATGAACAATAAAATCAAGATTAACATCGCTCTACATTTTAATTAAGGTTGACGATCTTTGTTTCGGTAATTCTTTGTTTTAATACAACAGCCTCAATACTCTTGGCACCTCAACTCACATCCAACAACCACCACCACCAACATGGGCTGACCATGCAGTAAATGTTGGCCCGGCACTCTCGCTGGCGCAGTAGGTGACAAATGTAAATGGCGTTATCCTTTTTTGACGCTGCATCCCTTAATGTAAAATGTATTGTTTCAAAAAAATTGAATACAAAAAAAAAATATATATATGGGACAATATTTAGTGGTGTTCTCATTAGGTGTGTATGTCTGTCTGTCTTCTGGCATAATAAATTATCAGATATGCCAAGGCAAACAATGAAGGAAACACTTGAATTTGTTTGTATGGGATGATCCTTAATGGCCATGTCAATGTCAATGACGACGACAACAACAAAAACAGCAGCAGCACCTATAAAGTGCACCACTCCATTGTCCCAATGAGGATGGCAGGGTGGACGGCCCAAGTGTGATTTTTAAAACAATAAAATATGAACTGTAAAAGAGCAAATTTTTGGGAGACACTCCTTTGTCTGTTTGTTTATGCCACACCAAAAAAATTTGAATATTAATTTCTTTCATTTCCCAAAACCAATAAATTCAATTTTTTCCTGGTTAGGGATTATATTTTCAATTTAATGGCGTGTGGAAATGAACACTTCGGACAAAAGGGAAATACATTTAATTATAATGAAAGAAAAAACATTCAATTAGTTTTATTCAAAAATACTTTTCCAATTTCCAATACCGATCGTTTTTAGAGTTTTTTTTTTTTTTGTAGAATTTTGTTTTCAAAACGCGACAATGACAAAAAGTGCATCCATTTCCGCTGCAGGAAAATAGGCATGGTTCACATTACGCACTTGAATGAGAGTGATTTACTAATCAAAATTCAAACCAAGTATATTTCACGAAGCTTTTAATAAAATGTAAAAAAATGAATTCTGAAAATAAAATTAAGTCAAATATGAGCCGTCATTTAAAGATAACAAATTTAAAAAGTAGGGAAATACCAACAGAAATCCCTCCTAAATGTTTGAACATTTTCGGTTCTGCATATCGGAAACCGATTCCCCGGGCTGTTAGGATCGCCTTCAAACATCAACGAGACGCTCAAAGACTTGACGATTATATAATAAAACACGATTACTTTACTCCTCGAAATTTGAACAAGACTATATGAATATATAGATGAATATATAAATATGGATTTTTTCACAGATATTGATGAATCGGTTTTCAATACCGTGAAATAACATCAAGCTTCGATCTATTAAACCTAACCGATTATATAAAATTGAAATTATTCCGTTCCTAAGAAATGTGAATTTGTTTCTGCTAATGACACTAGGCCAAAGCTTAACACGGTATCGATCCAAAAAGTTGACGATTATTGTATATTAAAATGATTTCTAAATGAAATCAGTATTGGACCTTATATAAATATAAAGAACGCCGAAAAATTCGCGGAGTTATTGATCTCTACCCATATAATTTGTGATGATAAGGAATTAGCCTTAAAAATAAAATATTAGCCTTAAGATGATAAGCTAGCCTTAAATATTAGCATTAAGGCCAAGTATCCTCAACATAATATTTAAACATCTGTGACATACATTATTGAAAATAGAGGAAATTTTTCTTATTTCCAAAGATTACAGCATTTATCCTCAAATTTAGATCAATCAGACAAAAGCTGAAGTCAGCCAACCAGCCAGTCTCTGATCGACAATCCAAAGGGAATATGACAACACGTACGGGTGTTCTAACATTTGTCCCATTTGCTGGTCTTTCCAACATATGTTGGTGTGTACCAAACAAATGAACTCATAAGGATTTAAGATGATAAGCTATTCAAAGTTAATCCCATAGGGATTTTATTTTATGGTCTACAGGTAGCCGTTGCTGCTTCTGCTGCTGCTGACACCAAACAGGCGTACGCGTTACAATTTAATAAGAATTTCTTTTTCTGAGCCCTTCAATAAACTGCATTTTATGACCTTTCTTTGAAATGAATATTGGAAAAATATTTTTATCGGATATTCAAATACGTGGTGGCATATGTTTAACATCCCTATTTGGAATAGGAAAGGAACATTGCCACAGTTGAC